CATGAAACTCCACACAGAAACACCACCTGAGCCGAGGGTCGAACCAGCAACCCAGCGACCTTCTTGCTGTGGGGCGACAGCACTACTTACTGCGCCACTGCTTTGCTCTGTAAACAAATCAGATAAATATATTTATATTAGTCAATAATATTACTGTACTTCATTTAAAAACGGAATAAATATAGATTAACACACATTTACTCAAGTAAATAAACAGAATTAATGATGAGCTAGAAATCTGCTTAAATCTGCGGAATTTTGCATGTAGATTCCATGTGGGCCTAGCTATAAGGTCTAATATACACTCTCAGAAAAAATGGTACAGTTTTGTACCAAAAAGGTACAAACCATTGTCAATGTGGCAGTACCTTATTATAGGACAAAATTGTACCTTAAGAAAAAGAAACAAATTTGTACCATTGCAGTTTGTACCTTTAAAGGACATGATTTGTACCACGAGAAACTAAAATGTATCTTTGGTTTTTAAAATATGCAGATACAATGTTGATCAATCATCAAAGGTACAAATCTGATCCATGAAGGTACCACTGCAGTAACAAGACACTTTGTACTTTAACAGTGTCAAATGAGTTTCTTCAAGAACTATTAACAGGCATTTTTGCTTTATCCAAAATGCATCAATTTATTTTCAGCACATATAAAGCAACAAATGAATTTTAAACAATGTTTTAGTTTACAAAAAGTTTATTTTCGTGTGAAAACACATTTTCAATTTACAATAAAGAATAAAAATACTTTTTTCAAAAGATCAATTTTTGTATTATAGAACTTAATAATTCACGTTTATGCGTTTCTTCAAACATATGTTTTTAAATTATGAAGATTCGTGTTTTAATATGGAAATATTCATAAAATCACTTTGCCCTTCCACTCATATTGATTTTCATAAATATTGTGATGGGAGTTGTCCAATATGTATGTACCTTTTCAATGAGAACAATTGTGAACCTCTATTTTAATTGTGCCATAAAAAGTACAAAACAGTAAGAGGTCTTTTCTGTAAGGTACAGTACAATTCCTTAAGAAACATAGTTTTTTTACTACCACGTACCTTTTTTGCTGAGAGTGTAGAAAGGTGTGTGGTTTTCCTTATCAAGTCCAATCAGTATAATCAAACACAGCTGGACTCAAATGAAGGCTCAAACCCATCTCAAGGATGATCAGAGGAAATGGACAGCACCTGAGTAAAAATAAATGAGTGCAGCAAAGAGTCTGCATACTTTGGACCACGTGATTTTTTTTTCTTTTTTAATAAATCTGCAAAAATGTCAACAACTTATAAGGAAATAAAAAACGTAAATAATTTTGCAAATGTCTGCAATATAATGTGTGAAAAGTTTAGTGGGGTCTGAATACTTTATGTACTCACTGTATATATATAAAATTGTCATTTAAAATGTATTGAATTTTATTTTCCCATTTGTCAGCAAAGTGTTTATCAATTAATATGCAGCAAAAACAAATCACATGTCAGAATAAGTAGTTTCATTTTTTTACATAAATATGCATTATTTCACCCACAACAAAACATATTGGAAATACTCAATAGACACTTGTTGGAATTGATTTGATTTTTATGAATTTAAATTCAATTTTTGTAAATAAAGTTTAGTTTATTAATAACCTTTGATAAAATATTTTTGAGATTGCTTTATTTAGTATATATGTAAGAATTATGACCTAATTTGAGTCATATTAATAAACAGTTCACAGGGCCTATGATGGTAATCCAGCTTACAACAATGAAAATCGAAACATAATAAATTTTAAGCATTATAGAGCCATTTTTCATAAACGTGCAGTATTTCCTTTGGAGTCAGTAACTGAACACAGCATTACATTTATTGAAGACAGCTGAGATTGGTCCTTTAAAAAAGTGCATTTACTCCATCTACTGGTGAACTGCTGTACACATTCATGAAGATCACAGTCGGCTTCACACCACTAAACACTAAACACTCGTTGCTGGAAAGCAAACGTCTTTTAACATCTAGACAATTTTAAATTGAAAAGTGTCTGTTCAATTGGGTCAGATAAGTTTTAAAGAATTAGTTCTAATGAAATGAAAATATCCTGTTTTATTCATTCCATTGTTATCCAAGATGTTAATAGCTATCGTTCACAGATTAAGAAGTGGGACAAATCTATAAACAGAGCATAATTGAGTACACCCCATTTTGAAAATAAATATTTTTATCCATTTTTCAGTGAATATAGGTGATGCATTTTGGTGCATTTAAATAAAAAAAAAGCATTTGTTAAGCAGGTATATTTATTAAAATAATTATTTCGTCACTAAACATATTTAGAAATTGAAAGACAGTACCATTAAATTCAAGCTACATATTGCAAAACAAAATTACAATCTAGAATCTTAGCTCATTTATTTTTTAATTTTTGCTTCTCTTGATTTTTCCCTTTTTTTTTTTTTTTTTTTTTTGTATTTATTATTTTTCTATAACACATAAATTTGGGTGTATAGTTTTTGTGCTGTTATCATAAGTTATTTTGTTAGATAAGCTCCAGATTTGGCTTTAGTACTGACTAATCTAATATATGTGCACACATATCATATTGTACAGCTTCCTATTAAAAATATTAATTTAAAAGAGAGATGTGTGAGGGGTGTACTTATATATGCTGAGCACTGTATATCTATACACTAAGCTACTAATCTATGTCTTAATACAACCCCCAGATTCTCTTTCTCTCCTCTTTTTCAATATAATTTTTTACCTTATCTAAATAAACAAGTCTAAATAACAATCAAGATGTTGTTAACATTTCAAAGTAAATTTTTATCTTAGCAGAAAGTTTGCATTTTCACATGTGACCAACAATTATTCAGCAAATATATAATATTAAAATAAATCATCAAAATATTCATCTGACAGTGGTGATGAAAACTTGAACCCAAAACCTGAATCAAATACATTGAATCCAAAACAATCAAAACAAACAGCAAAACAATTAAAACAAACATGTTATTATTCCAAAAGTTTTTATTGAGTTTGATGTGTTCGTTTTTTTTCTCCAAGATTTAGATATAAGAATATTTGACAGTGTTGTAGACAATAGAAATTAAACTCCTAATTTTATTTTGCAATTTGAGTATCATTTAGCTTTATTTAATGTAATAAGAAAATATTGTCATTAACATTTCAATGTAATGTCATAATATTTGGTAGATAGCACGTACATCAAGTTAGACTGAACTCTTCAATACTCAACACTGTAAAAATTATTTTAAATTCACAGTAAATTACTGGCTAATAATTGCTTTGCTTTCACAGTAAGATAAATTACTGTTAGCAAATTTTTATATAATCTATATATAATGCAACTTCACAGAAATGAAGTTAACATTTTTTTTCATGTGAGAAAGTCGTTTAAAACTCAAATCTGTGGTTTATTTATAAAAACGGTGCATATTTTAAAATGTTTTTTTTTTTTTTTTTAAATTCAGCGATGTCCAGGTGATGACAGGTACCCAGTATTCAAGAATCTGTCTAAAGCAGGCTTTCCTTGGCTAGTCATTCTGACAATTACCTTGACTTTAAAACCATTTTGGCTGTGTTCAACAGTCTTTGGTTTCGTGATTCAATTCATTTTGCTTCAGGTAATTACGTTTTTTCTAAACACAAAGTAGTGTTAACCTTATAATATTAAATAGAGGTGCACTCATAAAATGAAAATTTACTATAACATTCATCTAGTTTCAAACCTGAATGATTTTCTTTCAAGTTTGTAACCAAATTGTAAATCTTTCTCAGTATTAAAAAGAAGGAAAAAAGTGCCTGTACTAGCATAAATATAGTTCATGTGTATTGGTTTCTATGTTGAATAAAATAAAAAAAGTTTGACTTCCTATAACTAACGTGCAAAAGATATAACCCTTTATTTATAAGCAGATATAACCTGCCTTCATTTCACAATAAAACATATTAAATACATGCCTGTCCCCTACACTCCACTCATTATTATGTTCTGCTGACTCTGGCCTTCTCACTGTCCCTCGATACCACCTCTCTTCAATGGGGGGGCAGATCAATTAGTGTCATTGCACCCAAACTCTGGAACTCTCTACCACGCTCACTCCGCTCTGCTAATAATATCTCTGAAATCAAATCCTTAAGACTCACTTATTTTCTGAATGCTTCACTTCTGATCTGCCAAAATGACTACTTTATCTGATCCACCTCCACTCTGCTTTTATGTCTCCTAGGTCTTGTTTGTGTAATTCCAGTTTGTTATATTTGACTTCATGTATGTTTGTTTATCTTTTTGTCGCATTCCTTGTAAAGTGTCCTTGAGCTCTGGAAAGGCGCTAAATAAAAATTATTATTATTATTATTATCATCATTATATTACTTTGAATTTTCACACAAATCCTGTAAAGTGATATTAATTTAATTTACTTACAAAAAAAAAAAAAAACTAGTAACTTGTTGTGGAAAATAAATGTTTTGTCCGTTATTTCATTAATATAAATAGAACTTTTTCCACAATCTTAAAAAATTGGTTTGGTAAAGGGACACATTACCTTTCTGAAAGTAAACATTTTATAATCACACTGCAATGAAAATATACTTATACTTTTTGAATTTGTCCATGAAATGGTTAACACAATTTGAGATTTGTTTAGTTTTTCAGCTTGCAGATTATTTGTAAAAAGTGCAGGAGCTTGACTAACAATAATTCCTTAACGCTGGTCTAATTAATACAACAACTATGTGGTTAAGTCCAAAATCTCAAACATTTTTATTTTTATTTTGATGTCTCAAAGGCACTTTATAGTGTTGATGACCCTTTAACACATTTTAAGGGCCTTAAATTTATCTATATTGATTTGTCAACTTGTAATTCCTTTTTTTTTTAACCCTAACCCAGCGGACACCCTGGAGTTAATAATGAGGACATTTTTAAACCATCCTTTAAATCAATATACAATTTTTGATTTAAAAAAAGAGATGCTTTGGTGATAAACACAGTCGGTCTTGTCTTTATTAAAAACATGAAAGAAAACATGAATGAAACTGTACATCTGCTTCATTTTGCTTTTGATTTCTCATGGCAGAAAGAGTGGACTGTTAATGAGCCAAGTCGCCCAAATGAGCCGTTGCAGGACTCGACCCCACAGCGATGCCTTATAATCCTGAGGAAATGTGCTCCAAACCACACTGCGTTTCACAGCGACGCCTGACAAATTGCTTGTCAGAGATGAATAACACGGCCCATTTCTACATAGCTGTGAGGGACATCGCTGGACAACATCTTCCTTCTAGAGCAGCTACAGAATGAAGGTTTGCACACACGAAAGCTTTGAACTGACGGCGTGTAAACTACAACGGATTATAAATAATGAGGCAGCTATTCAGGAAGCAGATGCGCCTTATCACAAAGGAAGTGTGTTTGATTTACATTTGTCATTAAAAATGACTGAAGGACTGAACTTCACAGTAAATGGGTGTAATGTGTATTGTTGATAAATTGTGATCAGATGACGAAAGGGAAGGTTTTCTATAATAAAAACAGTAGATCACAGTCAATTTCCTCTTCTGTGTTTTCATGATGTTCTTGTGTGTTTTGGGAACTGTCTGTCACCGAGACGTCCTGTGTTCGTTTCCGCCTTCGTCTGTAGACTGTTTTGTTGTCCGCCTCCTTAAAACTGCATTTTTCTTCTTGAGGTTGTAGGGCAGCTTGCAGGCACTCTGAGAATCTGTTGTAAATAAACATTAATACAAATAAATGTGACTTTAAAATAAAAAAAAATATATTGATTGCTGTTTGTTCAAACTACTTGTTTAAAATGAGCAGAAACAAGAATTATTGAGTTTTTGTAGGGACGACTTAGTGATTTATGTTCAATCCACTTAAATTTGTGAAAGCTAATACGTTAACTTAACTCCTTCATGTTGTTTCAATATTTTGAAATGTGTTAAATTAGGGGTTCTCAACCTTTTTCACTTCGGGGCCCACTTCTTTCTCTGATCAATTTTAGAAGGCCCACCTGTCTGACATTTTCTGTAAAACCATTTAAATCTTTATTTATTAACAAATTATATATATATATATATATATATATATATATATAATTATTAGCCCCCCTGAATTATCAGAGCCCGTTTATCTTTTTCCCCATTTTCTGTTTAATGGAGGGAAGATTGTTTCAGCACATTTCTAAACATATTAGTTTTAAAAACTAATATATATATATATATATATATATATATATATATATACTAACAACTGATTTGTTTTATCTTTGTCATAATGACAGTAAATAATATTTTACTTGATGTTTTTCAAGACACTTCTATACAGCTTAAAGTGACATTTAATGGCTCAACTAGGTTAATTAGGTTAACTAGGCAGGTTAGGGTAATTAGTCAAGTTATTGTATAGCGATGGTTTGTTCTGTAGATTATCAAAAAATTTTGCTTAAAGGGGCTAATAATTTTGTCCCAAAAATGGTTTTCAAAAAATTAATAACTGCTTTTATTCTAGCCGAAATAAAAGAAATAAGGCTTTCCCCAGAAGAAAAAATATTATCAGACATACTGTGAAAATTTCCTTGCTCTGTTAAAAATCATTTGGGAAATATTTTTAAAAAATAATAAAAATCAAAAGGGGGCTAATAATTCGGACTTCAACTGTATATATACATAATATACATATACATACAGGGCTTAACATTAACACCCGCCAAATGCGGATAGGTTTTAGCTTTGGCGGGTTAGACAGTCACTCCCACTAGCCACTTTGGCTGGTTGAAAATAATTTTTAAATTATGGTTTTCTTATAAGCAGAGTTCTACTATAAGGATGACCCAATTTGCGTGCAAATGTGATCTTAGAATCGAGAAACAGCACGACTAACTAAAATTATTGCTTTCGCTTGAGCAATAGAAAGCAGGTGAATACTGAATGAGAGGATTACTTGTGCAAACAGCTGATGTGATGCACGCGACTGTTTCCTTGCTTGAAGCAACCGTGCCTGGGAACACAACTGTGATCGGTTCTCTTTCATATAGAAACAGACAAAAAGTAAAAAAGTGATGCTAATGCACCCACAGTCTTGCTGCTTTCAAGAGCTCCAAATGTGTATTTTTGTAAGCAGCACCGGTTGCTTTCGCTTTGAACAGATTATTAATTGGCCTTAACCGTGTGATCATCCTTACATTATCACACAGTATGTTTTTCGCCTGCTTTCTTTTGCTAATGGTTATTTTTGTTTATATGGTTTAATTATAATTTTTTTACAACCACATTGCTTTAATATGAGATTAACTCTCCATAAAATTGTATTTAACTGGTGATCTGTGAGACCTGTAGCGAGGACAGATTACTGTGCATATTTTTGATACATGACAATAATTATTTTTAAAAGTGAATTGTTTTTTTTTTTTGTTTTTTTTAAGTTTTGTTAAATAAAAAGTATAGTATACAGCTATATTTAGTTTGTTTAGACACATTTAAAATTTGTGGCTACGAAATAATTATTGTGTGTGTATATATATATATATATATATATATATATATATATATATATACTATATATACTCAAAATTATTAGCCCCTTTAAGCTACATTTGTTTTCGATAGTCTACAGAACAAAAACTGTTTTGTTTAGAAATGTGCTGTAAAAATATTCTCTCCGTTAAATAGAAATTGAGGAAAAAATAAACAGGGGTGCTAATAATTCTGACTTTAACTGTGTAGATAGATGGATGGATGGATGGAGATTTTTTCAATACATAGACATTCCCAATGATTATTTGATGTATTTGTTGTGGAGTTAATTCAAGCCTTTCTGCAACGATGAGTCACACACAATGTTGTTACAAAGTTCACGGACACACAGACACACATTTATCTCTGCACTGTTTTTGCATGCAAATGTGACAGTATACATGAGCAATATCACACGAGTAGCAGTGCGATATGGCTGTATATTGGCACTGGTGGGAGGCATGCGTTGTGCCCCCAGTGCGTTAGTGCCCCCACCAGTGCCGATATACAGCCATATCGCACTGCTACGAGTGTGATATTGCGTTTATACAACAGTTTGACGGCATAATTGTGTATATAAAAACAAAATCAAACATGGAGAGTCTCAAAAACTCTTTTGTATGAGGAACTACTTTCTTCCGCCTTGGATTCAAATCATAAGCTGACAGTTAAACAGTTGAGCAAGCATCTTTTAAACTTTAGATCTGTAGTGTCTGCTTTTTGCTGGTTGTATGTGGGCGGAGTAATACACAAAGGGTAAAGAGGCTGTACGGGTGCTGATATTACATCACGGCTATCAGCCAATCAGATTCAAGAACCAGACAGAACTGTTGTATAAACGTTAATATCCACTGCTGTATGGATATTCGTTATGTTAATGTACAAAATAAACCTATATTAACGTCCACAAACCAGGATTAAAGTGTCTTTTTTATAAATGTTTCTGACATGCGGCTGTGGTAATGAAGATGGTAAAATCGCTGTAATTCATTACGAACATGAACTGTTTTAAAAACGTTTTAAACTTGTAAAACTCATTTTGACCACATTTGATGATGATTGATGATCACAGAGAGCTGAACAGATCTTTTAATCCCAGTGTATTTGCGCATGTCCTTTTTGGTATGATTATTCACGTTACTACTGAGACATGGTAAAACACGGCTGTCAATCAATTCGGTGGGCGGGGAAACTGCACTCCTACGTCATGTTGGGGTAGACCTCAAAATGGGAGTGATTTGGATTGAATTTAATGTCAGGAAATAAAAAAAGAGACTCATTGTCTTTATATCACTTTAATATGACTGTGGACACACTCAACCTACACACAGTTCTGTCCAAACAGCCTACAAAAGACGATTTTCATCATAGTTTTAGTTATCATAAAGGGCACCTAAAGAAAAGCTAATGAAAACAAACTTTTAAATTTAAAACAATACACATTTTATATACAGCAGTGTTATTTTAGTATTATGAGGATGTTATTATTATTTAAATGTTATAACATATAAATGTATTATGAAAAGAATAGACCTTTGAACTCTGCTGATATGTTAACCTACAGAAGACACCTCATAATCCAACTTACCTCTGTATCCTTTTAAGATTTTCTTCCATCTTCTGGTTAGCAACTCCGACTAGGAAGTCGAGGTACTGATGAGTGACGAGGACGTGACTCCTGTGGCTGAGAGGAACTTCTAGACAGTGTGTGCTGCGCACGGCCTAAACAACACAAACATATCAATAACAAACACTGATTGTTTCAGAACTCAAAAAAGCAATGACGGAGCTCTAACTTAAAAATCTCTCTCACCATGATGATCTTGCCTTTCTTTCCCACAGTTATACCAGAATTCCTAAAGCCTGAGTTTATTGCGACAGTGTGCTGCGAAACAAACCATGAAAAGCAAGTTATTGTTTTGTTCCGCTCTAAATATCCTGCATGGAGAGTTTCATTCTAACTCAATATGACAGTCACCAGTAGTTGTGCATCTTCAAGCTGTTTACACTGAACGTGAAGCACAAATGGCTCAAACTTGAATGTAGCATCTCCGACAGACTTCTCCAAACCTCTGACCTGTTCCACAAACACACAACGCTTATATATCAACTCTTCTCATTATTAAATATTCATTAAATGGCTTAAAAGAAACAAGTTAACCCAAAAAGCTTTCACTTTTAAGTGGTTTCAAACTTTTATGAGTTTCTTTTTATTCTGCTGATTACAAAAGTAGATATTTTGAAGAATGTTGGAGACCGGTAACCACTGACATCCAAAGTAAAGAAAAAAACTAATACTATGGAATCTATGGTTAACAGTTTCCAGCACATATCACAAAAACTTTTTTTGCGTTCAACAGATGAAAGAAACTTGAATGGCTTTGGAACAAGTGACAAACAGAATGTTTAGTTTTGGTGAACAATCCATGTAATACTATATGATTTCTCACCACATCTTCCATTTGGCATTTCTGATGGGTGACAAATAACCAGGAACAGTTTTGCTTTTGCACATCAGGGCAATCTGAAACCTTAGAAGAAAACACATGTGATTACAATATGCAACATGCGCATAAACCTCTCGAATCTTTTAAAGCAAGTCAATGTCCCTGTAGCAAGACAGTTGGCATATTCTATATTCTATTATTTTTGCTTGTTTTCCCCTTCCACAAGTGTATCATATATTAAGTATCTGTTTCAAGCAGAAATAGTCAATATGCATCCTGTTAAAGCTGTTTTGAAATTGGACATTGCATTACAAAAAAAGGTCTTAAGGTTTGTAAAAGGTTTAAAGGTCTGAGATTGAGGTTCCAAATTTGAGCATAAATATGTGGTAAAAGTAATACCGTGATAGAAATTGAATGTAATTTTGTGGCATGACAGTGAATATAAGTGAAAATATTTTCAATGGAAGTACCTTTTCTTATATTGCACCCTTTGTTAAGCTCGTTTTTGTGATAAACAGTTTTAGAGTCCAAATCGTTTTAAAACTGAAATGTATAATGAAATATATTTTGAAAATATATATATTTTATGAATAAGATGCGTTTAGTGGAGTGCAAATGTGTTCTACAGTAAAACTCTACTTTAAAAAGAGTATTAGTGCTGTTATAATGTTCATTATCATTTGTTCATGTTTATTATTGTTTGTTTAAATGATGAAGACCTAATAAATTAATACAGACTTAATATATTTACTTAAAGATTGGCAAACTGCACAAGTGTCAGAGCCAGTTCCTGGAGGGCTGGAGCTCTGCAGCACAGCTTAGTTCCAACCATAATTAAACACGCCTGATCAAACAAATTGAGCGCTTTAGGCTTGTTTGATACCTACAGATAGGTGTGTTGAAGCAGGGCTGAAACTAAACTCTGCAGGGCTCCGGCCCTCTGGGTATTGACTTTGACACCCCTGTCTTCCTGTGATGTTAATTTCACAAGAATATATATATATATATATATATATATATATATATATATATATATATATATATATATATATATATATATATTTATATATATATATATATAATGGCAGTACATATTATTTAAGTTGATAGGTTTGACTGTGTACCATGTTTTTTAATATTATATATTTTCTTTTATTTCTTGTCTATTATTGTACTTGATGTCATCCAATGTTATGGTTATTAATATGAATAGAGGTAAAGTTGGTTTTATATTGGCACATTCGTTCATTGTTACTTTGAATATTCGATAGGAATTAGCATGCAAGTATGACTTCTAAACAACATTAAAATAATTGATTGTGAACAATGCTGTTCTTTAATGGTCATTTGCTGCTAATATGATTTTCCTAATTAGAATTTGCAAAGAACACTTTTCTGATATTATATCAGTAAGACCTTTATTTAATATGATTGTATTGACTGTTAGTTTATAACCGGTGTAGTCAGCACATGTGCGTTTCCCAAAACTTTGGCAGCAAGTGTGAACATGGGTGAAAAATAAGGATAATATCTACACAACAGTATTTAAATATTTCTCAAGCTTACCGCGTCAAAAAGAATGATTCTTCCGGAGCAAGAGCTTGTGGTAAAATAGCGATCCTGACTGTTAATAAAGGAGACGACATGAGAGATGTCTTCATCCACACTGCCCTTCTTACTGAAATCACACTTATTAAGACACTGATTCTTCCATTGCTGAAAGCTATCGCCGTCCATTTTAAAAGCCTACTGATTATTTGTATCTCTGCCGATGTTTACAACAACCAAGTAATTAATTCAGGTTTCTGAATATTATTTTGATTGCTGGAATTTCTGTACCGCATGCTTTTGTTTTGAGTACACAGTCGAGTACGGTGGCCGAAAACAGACAAAACTCTTTCATACGGAAGTCAGAAGCTCCAGCCAGTCAGCTGATACCTGCGTGATAGGTTAGTATTAGCTTATATTTTGCTCTTTTCTTTTACTTATTGTTCTTTCTTTTCCACGATATGAGTAATGTTATAAACTATAACTTTAAATAAATGTTATGAAATTTAATAGGTCTATGTTTGCTATTGTTTTCCACTGTGCAGGAATCAAAGTTCAGTTTGCTTTGGCTGTTCATTTGTTATGCAGAGACCACCATGGCCGCATCTAGATTAATGAGGGCTGTCAGAGTGTCCGAGTTTGGAGGCCCTTCAGTTTTAAAACTCTGCTCAGACCTGCCTGTACCAAGTCCTGGTCAGAAACAGGTTGGTCTCCTAAAAAATACCTTGAATTTTTGATTTCAGATTGTTTGTCTTGAATTAAGTTCTGTTTTCTTCCATAAAAGCATTTTCTGGCAAATTTAGATCACTAAAATGTATGGTTAACCTAAAACAGAAGTGTGTTATTTACTGATCATCATGTACTTGCAAGCACTTGAGACTGCGTACATTAATTATGTTTATATGAATTAAAGCCAAATCTGTTTGTAGCCCTGAAACAACTTAATTCATATGGATTGCATTCACACAGTTTTTTTTTTTTTTTTTTTTGAGCTAACTTTCATGATTGAATGTAAAATTTTGAGTGAACTAACTAAAAAGTCTACCATTTTGGAAATTTCAGAGATAAAGGATGGTTAATTATTGAGACAAATTTGGTTTTATATTCACACATTCGGGTTTTCTCCTATAATTTCTATAAAATTAAAAAAAAATTGTATAATTTCAAAAAAGTATTATTTGCAAATTCTAAATAGTAATATTATATTGCCAATGACTCTTGAAGAACAACATTGTTAACAGTCAAACAAATAGTCCTAATGTTAGTTTGAAGTCATACTTGCATGTAATTTTAGACCCAATATTCAAAGTTCTACAGTAATCAATACAGGGAGCGCTTCAAAAGTTGTCACTGACATGAATGTGCGAATATAAAACCAGTTTCACCTCAATTGGCTGTGTTTCCATAACTAAAAAGTCAAGTATTGTTTGTTACTGTTTAGAAAATGACCCGATTAATTTATGCTTTTAGAAGTTTATATACTTGACTACAATATTAGCTTATTAGCAATTACATCATTGTTTTTCCAAAGATCTTTGTAAACAATTTTTGCTATTATAGGTTCTCATACGAGTCCATGCATGTGGTGTAAACCCAGTGGAAACATACATCCGCTCTGGATCTTATGCTCGGAAACCCAGTTTGCCCTATACTCCAGGATCAGATGTCTCCGGTGTGGTTGAAGCTGTTGGCGAAGGTGTTTGCCTCCTACAGGTGCTGAGGTCTATTTTTTTTCTTCTTCTTTTTTTTTTTTTTTACTTCTAACACTGTCCAAATGAATTGAAATCTTCTCTGTTTTCACAGGCAGGTGACAGAGTCTTTACCACAGGCACAGTGACAGGAGGATATGCTGAGTATACGGTGGCCTCAGAGGACACTGTTCACAAGCTGCCCGATTCCCTAAACTACTGTCAGGGTGCAGCAATGGGAGTTCCGTATTTCACTGCATACCGGGCTCTCGTTCACAAGTAAGAAAATTGTGGCCATTAAATTTACATTTATTCCTTTAGCATATGCTTTTATCTAAAGTAACTTGCATAACCTACCACTTGTATTCCTGGATTCTACAACTTGTATAAAAAAGTGTCAAAGAACATCAGCTTGCATGTCAGTTTGTCATATGGTTACCTATTAAGGATGGTAATGTGAATGTGTTAGGTTTTTTTGCATTTCTTTTTAATATTAAGAATGTAATATATTACTTTTAAAAGTAACTTTATCCAACACTGTTGTTGAGGCTGTGAATTAAAGATAACAATGTTACAAATAATGTTCAAATTTTTGCATAGATCAATCGTTTCACTTCATAAGACCTCAATGTATCATCAGGAGGTCATTTTTTAAGGTCCCTTGAAATTGAAATACAGTTTTGTAGATGTTCATGTTCTTATGTTAGTTTTAAGAATATCCCTAAGCTAGTGTGCTCCACAACAGTGACAAAATTATATTTAGAAGACATGGGATTAATGAAGCATTATAAATCACCAAAAAGCAACAAAACGATGTCAGGACACGTTTAAGTTAGTTTGCATATTAATGTTGTCACAATTACTACTTTCAACGTTCACTAAATTAAGTTGTAAATCGCAATATCACCCAGAAAAATAGTGAAAGAGAGAGATATTTTTTTCTAATTACACAACATTTTTGGCTTATATAAAGCAGCTTTATACAGTTTTGTGGAAAAACAGGGTAAACATGGATCCCTGTGCGGTACTGAAGTTTTCCAAATGTAGGCTTGGCAAACAATACATGGAATAAGAAAACCAAAGGTTCCTACTGTATAACACATACACAAAACTACTGTATGTACATGACATGATACAACATAAATAAACAAATCCAAAATGCACAGGGGTCCGTTCTTCATACCTCGCTTAAATGATCTTAGATGATTTGGCAGATCCTGGATCTTCTCATCTCGATAACTGATCTCTCGCTAATTTGGTTCTTCAAACAAGTTCGCGAATCAGATTAGAATGTTTGGATAAACTGATCTGAGATCGCTGCGTGTGTTGTGTAGGACAGATCTATCGATCCTCAAAATCATGATCAGCAATGCACTGATTGGCTGACGGCACTGCAGCGTAATGAAATCATCTGAATTAATATTCAATTATCCATGTGAGCTAAATTACATCAAATTAGCAGTAAACCGTTTGTTAAATATGAGACACAATAACCTTCCACATTTCTTGTGAGCTGCAGGCTTTACACTTTCATGTGTCAAGAGTATTCATCATTTCAATGCATATCAGTGTATTTAGTTCTTTTTTTTCCGGAGTAAAGAATAACTGGATGTTTGCAAAAGCATTTTGATATTGGTAAAGGTCTGCAACTTTTGTGAAGCATCAAATCACCGTCATATTAACTGTCAAAACATGTTTATGACTGCATATGTATTATTGCTTTTTTAAAAAGTCACATATTGTGCATTTCTATTATACACAAATTGTTGTAAAGCAATCTAAAAAGTTCATATCAATAAGTTTTCTCCTTGCACCACCAGGTGGCAGTCTTTGTACTTTCATTTCGGGGGTGCAGATTGAAAGTTTTATATATATATATTAGTTAAAATAGTTACTATTTTCCCAAGTGTATATAACTACTACTGTAAGAAAATATCAGCATTTGGTACATACTTTCAGTATTTTCTTTGCATGAACTGAGCCAATCTAATCCTGTTTATATAAATTGAGCCTGCTGCCGAGCAGGTTTGATCTACCAGAACTGTTGCTATGACAACAACTCAACAAGTAATCCACGTACGAAGAACGGACCCGAGATCTTTGTTTATGTTGTTTGCACATTTTATTTGTTAACAGCACATCAATCTGTCGATGGTTAAAATCGTGTAGTGTGTACTAGGCTTAAGCAAAGCTTTATTCCACGTATTACATGGCTAATTGCCACGAAATGTAAAAATTATACACACTATATTGTTCTGTTCTGTAATAGTATATTAATTCTTTATTTAAAGCAAAACTGACAGAAACGAAAACAGCTGAATGGATCAAACACTAACCTGCATATTATTCAAAAGATCAAAATTAAAAACAATTAAAAGCTGACAGACATGCCTATAAATATGAACATATGGATGTGTGTGTGTGTGTGTGTGTAAAGATGACTTCAAGTGTCTGGTTGAGCCTGTGTTATTAGTTTCAGTGTTTGCTGAGAATCTGAGAATGACATACTTTAAAATGTTGTGGCTGGCCAATCAGAATCAATGTAAAAATTTATAAATATAATTTGTATTTAAGAATTGTATTTTTTCCTATACAGGGCCCATGCAAAACCAGGAGAAACCGTTCTTATCCATGGAGCCAGTGGTGGGGTAAGAAAATTAAAAATGTACCTTAAATGAATAGTTCTTCCAAAATTGAATTCTGCTGTTCATTTACTTTCAATCTAAGATCCATGGTGACTTTGGCAAAACTATTAACCAGTTCAAGAAACCGAGGATTATTTGCCCATTATTATTGCAACATTATCTTATTTGCAGCATTGTTATCTGCCAACTCCTCAAACAAAAACACAAGCTTGTTTGTTCGTACTCATGCTAATCTTTGATGCGATAACTTGTATACAAAAGTGTTAAAGAGCATCAGCTTTCATATCAGTTTGTCATTTGTCATAATATAAAATAAAGCTTGCTCTTTAGACTTCTAAAAGAGTCATAAAAGCACTCAGTTACTTTTAGTTACTTTTAAAAGTAATATATTACAATCCTGAGTCACATTTAAACAAAAAGTAACTAAATGTGTGACTTGGGGCTCTATTTTGACGATCCATGCGCAGTCCAAAGCGCAGGGTGCAAAGCCGCAAACACATAAAGGGCATGTCCGAATCCACTTTTGCTATTTTAAGGATGGAAAAATCCGCCTTGCGCTTTGGCGCATGGTCTAACAGGGTTGAGCTTATTCTCTTAATGAGTGATAGGTGTGTTTTGAGAATAAACCAATCAGAGTCTCATCTCCTATTCCCTTTAAGAGTCAGTTGTGTCGCGCCATGGCGCATTTGCTATTTACATGACGGACTTTGTAAGTGGAAAAACTGAGCGTTTCACTAGTAAGAAAACAGTTAAACAGCCTCCTCATTCTTTACTTTCATTTTCACTCTCGTGGATAGGGAAACTTGTTGTACGCACAGACATCCATTAGCCTATAAATAATTAATTTCGTTTGTTAAGCTCAAATATTTGTTTCAAAGCTATTTCTAAATTAAACATGCTGTGCCCCATATGGTCTAAAACCTGACAGGTGGACAAATCTAAGCTTGTTTTTAATAAAACAAATATAAATATGGATATAATAAATAATACCGCTTATAATAATAACAACATTATACAAAAGCTAATTGTTATGAATAAACTGAAATAGCCCCTCGAGATGAAGACATGAAATTATAGTTTTTATTTTTATGTAGGTTACAAAAAATAATTATTTTTGTAATATTTTAATCCTTTAATTCTTTTTTATATGTAAAGATATTTGCGTATTGCTGTATATCCTGTGTGTATTAAGCAATGTGTTAGTGAGGCGCACAACTAATGCACTCTGCGATGGACTTTAGGCCTGCTTTGATCTGGTCTATTGAATTGTCTATTATAGTTCAAGATAGCAACATGCCAGCAATGCGCCTCAACACACCTCCTTTTTTAGACCAGAACCCCTATGGGCGCACATATGTGCGCAAATGCATTTGTTATTTAAACAGCGTGGTGCGAAACGTCAAAATGACTCTTGTGCCGAGCTGAAACTAGCAAACAACAATTACGTCACGCCTTGCGCCGGGTGTATGATATGGTCCTTGGTTACCTATTATGAAAAGTAATTTGAAAGTATGTGTTATGTTATTTAGCATTTTTTAAAGATAAGAATGTTGTAAATAATGTATAATTTCTTGCACAGATCAATAATTTCACTTCATAAGACTTTGTTGTAATTCGACTTCTCATCAATTAGAAATTATCAGACAGGAGGTTTTGAATATCAGAAAATATTCTCCTCCTCTTTCTCTTTTCTTTCTAAAGTCTCTCCTGCTCCTTCTAAAGTCTCTGTGTTTTCCAACAATCTTTATACAGGTTATTTTCCACACCACTGGGTGACTTGTTTTAACTTTTAACCATTTTAGGATAGATTTTTACTCTAGGTGGTCCTGCTATTCTTGGCTCTCAGCCTACTAGCTCATGTCAACAGAGATGTTACAGGTCTGTGTCAGCAACTGTTTTGACACAAGAGCATAGATGCAAAATAACTAAGTGTTTACATACATCGTCATGATAGGATAATAACTTGATAATATGTTACTCATTCTAACTTCTGACACATACTGTATAGCTTCATACAAGTATTTAACATATATAATCAGTGCTTTACATATTCAGTTATTCTACACAATCAGTCACTTTAGCATAGCCTTCTCCTAGTGTTGCTCCTGTGCAGGCATACTCATCTTACACAGACATATCACTGTATTTTTAACACAGGCTGGCATGTTTGCTGCAAACACTACATACATTTTGAGAAGAGAAAATTAACTGCTTTACAATTAGAAAATACTTCACACTGAGAGAATAGAAATCTTCTTCAACTTCAGGATATATCATAAGATGTATCATCAAGAGTCATGGGTGTGTTTTTTATTAAAAGGATCATAAAAAAACATAAAAATCAGCTTAAATTTTCTTTATTGTTCTAATGGGAATAAAACACACCGTCTTTGGTGCCTTGAGGGTATATATTTGGATATATTGGATTATGGTTTGTTCCTTGAAGTCTTGAATAAATACTTCTTGTTTTTGTAGGTAGGCATTGCAGCGTGTCAGATCGCACGAGCGTTTGGTCTTAAAGTCCTGGGTACAGCAGGTACTCCTGAAGGGATGAAGCTGGTGCTCAATAATGGAGCTCATCTTGCTTTCAACCACAGAGAAAAAGACTACTTGGAGAAAATTAAGGTCTTAGTACTCTCTTGGTATACTTTTAGTAGAGTAAATTAAACGTATCAACTATTCCAGATGGCTTAGATGTTTATACATAAACTAACACTAGTATTTTGTTTGTAAAATTGCACATTAAAAAGTTTAAAGTTTTACATTAAAATGTTTTGTTTTTAAAAGCTCATTAGGGGATCGTTCTTTTTACCTCGCCTAAAATATCAGATTTGGCAGATCCTGGATCTTTTAATCTTGATAAATGATCTCTGCCTAATTTGGATCTTCAAACAAGTTTGCGAATTAGATTAAAATAGAATTGATCTGAGATTACTGGTTAGGCTGGCAGTAAGACAACAATGCAGTGTCATTGTGATCATCTAATTAATATTCAATTATCAGCCATGTGTGCGAAAGACTTAAAATGTGCAGTAAATGAAATGGTTCATTAAATGATAACTTTAAAATAACTTTCCCTATTTTTATAGCCTATTTGTGCAGACTTTACACTTTCATGTGTCAAGAAGATAGTATTTTGCAATTTATTTAGTTTTACCTTCAGAGTGGATTTTTAATGTAATCAAGATTCTTAATCTCATGGCTTAAGGCACAGATGTCAAACTCAGGCCGAAGCTCTGCACAGTTTAGTTCCAATCCTGATTAAACACACCTGATCAAACTAACTCAGTCCTGCAAGCTTGTTTGAAACCTACAGGTGAAGCTGGGGTCACACTAGAGTTTGTGTGTCGTGCGGCACTGCGAAAAGGGGCAGGATTAAACAAGATGATTAGACATTAAAAAAAGCGAGCGATTGCTCCATGTTTTAATTTTCTGTCCAGAAAGGTCATGTTTTGATCTTTGATTGGTCTCACACAGTCAAGTGATGAGATTTCGCAGGTCAGAGTTCACCAAACTTGAACTTTGCACCGCAGCAAACTGCGAAACTTAATGCATGTCCCTGTGTTTTCGGTCTGACGCGATCGCGTATGATGAATGGAAGTCTATGGGGAGAAAATTCAAGTGTGACCACAGCTAAAGTGTTAAAGCAGGGTTGCAACTAAACTATGCAGGGCTGCAGCCCTCCAGGAACTGAGTTTGACACTCCTGGCGTAAGGCATACCTGGCTATTTAAATAAATTTTGCATCAAAAAGCTTTTAATTTTTGAGAAGTGTCCCCATCTCCTGCACTGCATCAAATCCCCCACATATGAGATGTCAACGTGAAAATTTTCCATGCATGTCTATTGCCATACACAATTGTTCTAAATCAGGGTTGATACTGTACCTTTTTAAAGTACGCGTCTTTATCTAAAAGGTAAATATTGATATCCTAAAAAATATATACTGCTCAATATATACTACTAAAAATTCACAAATGTTCTCTTTGATCCCCTTGAAATGTACCACCACTGTGACAGTTTTGTACCTTTATTTGGAGTGTAGATTACATAAAAGTTGTTGACTATTTTAAAGAATTATTATATTTTTAAATAATTGTACAATCTTGTTATTTTCCCAATTAAATAAATTAATATTGTGCAAAAATTATCAGCAGTTGCTACATAAAATTCAATGTCATCTTTACTTAAAATGACACAATCTAATCCTGTTTAAATAAAACAAAGCTGTTCCTGTTTATATTACCTTCTAAGCTTACAGACTAATTCCTACAGTATATGACAGCAACTCTTGGATGACTTTTGAAGAACTAAAATATCAAATTCAACATTTCTTTAACCAGATCCAGAGTAATCATGTACCAAGAACAGACCCCGGTTCTACATGTGTTTTCTAATGCAATAAAAATAAAATCTTCAATAATGTGAGGTTTTACTAAAATTAACTAATAATGTTTTATTTTTATATATTTTAAAATGTTATTTGCTCTTGTCACATCAATGCTGAATGTTCTGCAAATTACTGCAGTCTTTAGTATGATGTGATCCTCCGAAAATCATTGTAATATGATGATCTGATGTTTAAGAAACATTTGGGTCACACTTTATTTTGATGGTCCGTTTGTTGAATTTAAGTTACATTGCATCTACATGCCAACTAATTCTCATTAGATAATAAGTAGGCTGTTTGGTTGGCATTAGGGCTAGGGGTACGGTTAGTGTAAGTTGACATGTACTTGCAAAGTTTCTTCTAGTCAGTTAAATGTCTTTTGAATGTCTGTATCAACAGATATTAAGCAGACAGTCTGCTAATACTCAAATAGACCATCAAAATAAAGTGTTACCCACATGTGGCGTTGCTTTGGAAATTGTGGTAGATCATAAATATCTCTGTCACTTTTGTTTGACCCTAAACTTTTGAATGCATCTAATCCGATTTAGCAGATTATCTGTAATGTCATCTTTTTAGTATAAGCTTCACATTCACACACAAAAAAAATGCTTGTTAGTAGTTTGTGATGATAAAAACTATTCATTTTTATATTATTTGATTTACTGTTTAAGGATACGACTAATGGACTTGGGGTGAATGTGATCATAGAGATGTTGTCCAACGTCAACCTGAGTAATGATCTTCAGTTGCTTGATTTCGGTGGCAGAGTTATAGTAAGTACATTGTTTTGGTTTCATAGTCGTTTGTGTACATGCTGTACAGTGGTTATGTTTTCATCATCTCGTTCTTTTGCAGATTGTTGGCTCTAGAGGCCCGATTGAGATTAACCCCAGAGACACCATGATGAAAGAGTCCAGTGTCATTGGTGTGGCTTTGCACTTTGCAACTAAGGTACTGTAGCAAATTAAGCTCATAAAATTATAAATATTAATAATTAATAATAACAAGTTATTATTTAATTATGAATATTTGGGTTTACTATTTGCTAATGGTAGCTGAAAGTAATTGGTCACACTTTACAATAAGGTTCATTAGTTAATGTTAATTAATGCATTTACTAACATGAACAAACAATGAGCAATACATTTACTACAGTTTTTGTTCATGTTAGTTAATGTTAGTTGATGAAAATACAGTTCATTGTTAGTTCATGTTAATTCATGGTGCATTAACTAATGTTAACAAGCATGGACTTAAATGTTAATAATGCATTAGTAAATTTTCAATTATGATTAATAAATGCTGTACAAGTGTTGTTCATGATAAGTTTATGTTAGTAAATGCATTAACTAATGAACCTTATTGTAAAGTGTTACCAAGTAATTTCCTGGTCTGGAAAAATAATCTTACTACATTAACAAATTAGTACAACCTGTAGTTTACCTTTGTGTTCAAGTAACTTGTTCTGTGTGTAGAAACAAGCACTTTGCATTGTCTCAAACATTTAGTAATGGTGATAAAAAGGTATAGACAACACATATTTACAACATGCATGTACTCGAGAGAGAGAGACAGAGACAGAAAAGAACAGGACTGAGAGACCCCATAGAGAAAGAGTTGCAATTCAACATCAATAACCCAATACCAAACATCAAAGAAACCTAAATCACCTTGTTTTAACAAAAAAAAATCAGAAACTAGTATTTCTGAAATCTAAAATCACACTTGCATTAGTTTCTTTGTTGTGGCGTATGCAATGTGTGCTGGCCTGAAAGTTTCTTGATGAGTCGTTGCTGGTTCTTCGTCATTCAGGGGTGTGTTTCCCAAACAATGATGTAATTCGCGGCTGAACTATCATAGTATGATGCATCGTTTGGGAAAAGAACTATGTAGTGACGAGTGTTTCCCAAAACCCGTAATTTCTCTGACGCAGATCCATCGCTTGAACCACGTTAGTTATAATGTAAAACGCCCAAAATTATGCTCTTTACTGGGTGGAGTAACAACTTCTTTAGAGAAAATCCTATAATTTTATTGTGCAAATTATATTGTTTTAGACGCACGCGCATTTAAAATAATATCCAATATTAGATTTGGTAAAAAAATGCACTCGCTTTTTTCAATATTAACTGAAATATGTGCCACATATAGGGCCTATGTTTGCTTTACTAATATTATTGAGAAGTTGAACATTACATATTCTATTCTAAAACATATCACTTACAAAAGCAAACACGTATTCTAATATATAAATCATATAAATAAATAATGAGGCTATTTATTCCATAATAAAATGTAATATTTATTATTTTTTTAGAAATGAAAAAATCATACTTTAATAATAATATTTATAATTTTAATAATGATGATATAATAATAATAATAATAATAATAATAATTATTATTATTATAATTATTATTATTATTAAGTAGGATATTGTTTATTTTTTATTATTTTAAAAAGTCTACTTTTACAATTTGACACATGTAAACCACTGTAGATAGTTCTAACTAGCAGGCTCATGTCATATACAGTACAGATATTTAATAAATAACCCACTATAAAATAAAAGAATTAACTTATGCTTTTTGTTTTCACATGCTTTGCAGGCGTGACATAAATTCCACTTTTAAATAATAGGTCACCTATAGCTTTTGCCATGAGGCGTTGTTCAAAATGACATCAATGTTTTTAAAGTGCACTGCGAAGGGAGCACAATTGTAAACATGAAAATCGCTGAACCTGAACTGTAAAAACAGTTTAAAAGCAAATTACACCTGCTTTTTTTGTTTTTAATAATTCCAACTTTGAATGTTAGAATGTTCTAAATGAGTAGGGCATAGGTGGGATAAGTGGGAATAGAACACAGCCAGGAACTATGTTTCTAACTACAGCTCCAGAGCTGTAGTTGCGAGTGCTCAAGTTTGCGATGCAGTTTGCGAATGTTCTTTGGAGCGATGGATTTGAGAAATGGCAAATTAACAAACTATGTTTGTAACGACGGAACTTGCAACCTTTAGTTGACTAACAATGGTTTTGGGAAACGCACCCCAGATCTGTTGATCAGCATTCCGGCAAGGTTATGAGTTGAAATTGTCCAGAATAGAGACTTGGTTTGATGCTAAAAGTCTCTGAAGAGTGAGAAGACCAAAGCCTGGCCTCAGCTTGCTGGCCTCAGCTTTCCAAGTCAAGAGCCAGTACAGGAAGAAGAGTGAAGAGAAGTTGTAGAGAGGGTTCAAGAGGTGTAAGAGTTGGAGGGTGTCAACTTGTCATGCCTTCCTTAATTAAGATTGCTGAAGTCATGAATCAGGGGCTGAGTTAGCCAATAAAAAGTTGCATTCTTTTTTGACTCTTCTTCATGTCTGGCGATTTACATACAGTTGATGTCAGAGTTATTAACCCCCCTTTGAATTTCTTTTTTAAAAGTTTCCCAAACGATGTTTAACAGAGCAAGGAAATTTGTCTGATAATATTTTTTCTTCTGGAGAAAGTCCTATTTGTTTTACTTCGGCTAAAATAAAAGCAGATTCTCTTTTTAACAGCCATATAAAAGTCATTTATTAAATTATTAGACCCTTTAAGCAATTTTTTTTTCAATAGCCTACAGAACAAACCATCATTATATAATACAACTTGCCTAATTACCCTAAAATGTCTAGTTAACCTAATTAACCCAGTTAAGCCTTTAAATGTGAAGTGCTTTGAAAAATATCTAGTAAAATATTATGTACCATCATCATGGCAAAGATAAAATAAATCAGTTATTAGAAATGAGTTATTAACACTATTATGTTTAGAAATGTGTTGAAAAAAATTATTCTCTCCGTTAAACAGAAATTCGGGAAAAAAATAAAACAGGGGGGCTAATAATTCTGACTTCAACTGTATGCTTGTTAAATAGTGGTCAGAGACAAATGTTAAAGATTTTATCATCTGAACATGCGTAATAAGTACTAAAATTCAGTGCATACAGTTGTTCTGTAAACCACATTAGCTGTTCAAACATACCAAACACATCTGGGATGTTGTTTGAGTGTAAGTTGTTAGCAATACTTCTAGGGTTTTTAATACCAAGGAGATTGAAATACCACCAGTAAATAATCAATAAACACTATTTAGCACAGTCATCAGAGCACTCATGACACACACATAAAAAGATTACATACATTCTAGGTCAGATATAGTATTGGCTATATTAAAAAGGTTCAGTTCTGTTCACGCGCAAGTGTGAAAGGTTTTGAGGCTCGCCTATCAAGATGGTTTTCGTGGTAAAACTAAGTTGGGTGTAACCTTTTATCAAATTCCTGGTTGGGGAAGTTTGTGGGTTTCAGAGAGCTGCTTAAGATGTTTATGCGACAATAAAAATGTGCTTGATCTTCCTCCATTCCTTACAGTACAGTGACATTTCATTTTTAAATGTTTTTTTTTTTTTTACTAATGTTAATCTCTCTGGTGTGCTTCAAAAAATGTATTTTCCTATTGTCATTTTGAATAATTAAGATTTTCTTTTAACTCTCTTAGGGTGCTTTCACACCTAAGTTACACTTTTGTTTCGGAACGTGTCTCGATTGCCCGGTTAGCGCGGTTCGTTTGGCATATGTGAACAGGGCAATCGCGCTCTGTTCCGCGCCAAAGTAATCGCTCCGAGATCGCTTGAATGAGGTGGTCTCGGCTCGATTGAAACGAACCCTGGAGCTGTTCGATTACGGTGAGAAAGCGATCCGATCCGAGCGCGGTTATATCACAGTGTTTTATGGATATGTAATAGGCATATGGCTATATGAAGAGAGAATTATGAGTATGGCGGGAAGTTTCGCGAGTCTCCGGATGCCCGCAAATGAGTGATGATCTCCCGGTAATCTCGCGTCTCCCTCCCGGTCCTCAAATAGGCTACGTCGCGCACCCTTTTCACCCCTCCCGACTGTATCTCTCCTCAGATACATAGCGCACACCCTGTCAATCACCATCAAACCACCACCTCTCCTAACAGCTGAGCAGGATGCTGCAAAATAAACCCTGACACTCTGACCAATGTGAGGAGAGTTTACTCGCACGTGACTTGTTTATGCTCTTTTGGTCCGATTAGAAACTTTGCAGTGTGAAAGCGAACCGCTCCAAGAGCAAAGAGCAACAATGTAACAATTGTAATCTCTGTTTCGGAACAACTGAATCGATTCACAGGTGTGAAAGCACCCTTAGGCTCAGAAGGGTTCATTTATTTCACCATCATTTAAAATGTGTTTTATTCACATGATGCTTCAGAAATCATATGCTGATTTAATTCACATGTAATATCAACTATGCATTTTCTAGTTAGATTAGTCATTTTTTAATTAGAGTTCTTATTATTAATGTTGAAAACCATTTGTGACCCTGGACCAAAAAACCTTATGTTTTTTTGTTGCACAGGTATAATTTTAGCAATAGCCAAAAAATATTCAGTCAAATTATTTTTTTTTTTTTGCCAAAAGTAATTTGAATATTAATTAAAGATCCATAAATATATTTTGAAAATTTGCTAGTGTATCAAAACCACATTTCTTATTAGTATTGCTAAGCACTACATTTTAAAGGTAATTTCAATAGTATTTAGATTTTATTGAACCATCTAATCTTCATATAGTTGTTTCTTGGGCAAATAATGTCCTATCCCAACAAACTATACCTCAATGGAAAGCTTATTTATTTAGAAGATGTATAAATCCCTGTAAAATCTCTCTTATAACTGGTTTTGTGTTCCAGGGTCACATTTAGATTTAATATTTTTGCAGAATCTGATCGATTTTTTTTTTTGCATTGTTTTGTAAAATCATAATCAATGATGCATCCTTGCTAAATAACAGGATTATCCTTTAGTTCAAAATATGTATATACTTATCTGAACCTGAATATTTAATATAATAAATTGCTATTTTACATGATTTAAAGTTGCAAAATGTGTTAAAATAGAAGACAGCTATTTTAGATTGGAATATTTAACAATATTGCTGTTTTACTGTGTCTTTGAAAAGCATTTAAGACTTCATAAACAATAAAGGCATCTTTATTTAATTATTCATTCTCTATTTAATTATTGTTAACTTATGAAAACCCAGTGACTAATTTTACTTTCCAAAGGACTGATGGTAGAGCTAAATGCTGTTTTTTTTTTCCACAGAGCGAAACTTCAGAGTGTGCCGCAGCTCTTTATGCAGGAATGGAGGCAGGCTGGTTGAAACCTGTAATTGGTCCAGAATACACACTTGATAAAGTGGCCCAAGCTCATGAAGATATCATCAACAGCCCCGGAGCCAGTGGAAAGATGATTTTGACCATGTGAAAATATACAGGAGGCTCAGTTTCAGTGTATAAAAACAAATTAATTATCTTTGCATTAACTGCCATATTTCTACGTCAGTGTTACAATTACACCAATATATTGCTATAGCGATAATAGTACAGGTATTGGCAATTTTCATGTCACAGATAAGTTAAATAAAATAAATTAAGTTTATGTGCCAAGCATTAGTGTGCTGCATGAAAGGGTTGCTTTTCCAAATATGACCAATCAGATGGGGCCTTATCTATCTTCATGCACATTAGCCTAATCTTAGAGCTGAAAAATTATGCTTATGATGGGAGACAAGAGAGAATAACGGCAAATAGGTATCAGAATTTCTGGGGTTTTCAGTAATTCATAGTTTTTTTTATAGATTTAATTAGCTTAGAATAATATATCACCTGTTTATTTTAGTACATAAATGATTTTTAGTTAGTTATATCTTAAAAAAAGGTATTGGCAATTTTCATGTCACAGATAAGTAAAATAAATTAAATTAAGTGTATGTGCCAAGCATTTGTGTGCTGCATGAAAGGGTTGCTTTTTCAAATATGACCAATCAGATGGGGCCTTATCTATCTTCATGCACATTAGCCTAATCTTAGAGCTGAAAAATTATGCTTATGATGGGAGACAAGAGAGAATAACGGCAAATAGGTATCAGAATTTCTGGGGTTTTCAGTAATTCAGTTTTTTTTATAGATTTAATTAGCTTAGAATAATCTATCACCTGTTTATTTTAGTACATAAATGATTTTTAGTTAGTTATATCATAAAAAAATATTGTTATCACAACACCTAATATTTTCCCAGCATTGTGCAGCCCTACAATCAGTTTTAATCAGTTAAGAACCACATACAATATATGAATCGAATCATTTAGACCAACACAAATTATAACCTGAGTTCAGCAAATGTGTTGTGTATATAATATGTAACCTAATATAGTAAATATTAAGTAAACGCTATTACATGGTTTTGTGTTAATTCATTTCACACTAATTTGAACCATTAGTAGATAATAAACCAATGGAATAATCGTTTGACTGCTGATTGACTGAGTTTAGGGCCAGTCTCTGACAGATGGAGGAGTGTAAGATGAACTTGTGTGTGTTCTTGGCAGTCAGGCATCAGTGCTGGATACTGTGCCATATTTCTGAGATCAGGTAACACGCTGGATATACGCATGCTCCATTTACCGCACACGCGTAACTCTGAGAGCAGCAGGTCTGTAGGACACAGGAAATAGGGAGAGACTAAAGAATGTTTTAAAACTTCATATGAAAAGAAGTTTGGGGGATTTTGCTCTTTCAAATGTGGTAAGCAGAATTATGTGTGTGTACTGTTTCTGTGATTACAGAATAAGTTATTTAATTGTAATTTAGCAATAAAACATATCAAGGAAATAAGATGTTTAAATGACTCGTACAACTCAACAGTAAATATTTATGTGAGATTATTCATTACGGATGCAAATGTACATTCAGTAAGGATGTTTTTTTACTTTTTTAAATATTAAATTTTTATTTATTTATTTAAAGGGATAGTTCCCCAAAAAAGTGAAAATTCTGTCTTCATGTACTCATCAGTTGTCCCATACTTGTTTAACACAAAAGAAGATACATTGAAGAATTTTGGAAAATGCATTGATTTTCTTTTTTTTTCTTCTTCTTCTTTTCAAATGGATGTCAGTTCTTACATTTCCGACATTTTTCAAAAAAAAAAAAAAAAATACAACTCTCATTCATTTTCTTGTCGGCTTAGTCCCTTTATTATTCTGGGGTCGCCACAGCGGAATGAACCGCCAACTTATCCAGCATGTTTTTACGCAGCGGATGCCCTTCCAGCCGCAACCCATCTCTGGGAAACATCCACTCACACATTCACACACACACACTCATACACTACGGACAATTTAGCCTACCCAATTCACCTGTAGCACATGTCCGGAGGACCGGGAGGAAACCCATGCGAACGCAGGCAGAACATGCAAACTTCGCACAGAAACACCAACTGAGCTGAGGCTCGAACCAGCGATCCAGCGACCGTACTGTGAGGCGACAGCACTACCTACTGCGCCACTGCTTCGCCAAAAAATACAACTCATAACAACTTTATTAAGGTTTGGAACAACCCAGGAAGGTTAAATACATTGAGTTATGCAGTTCTGAGCAGGCCTCGCACTGGTGAGTGGGCTTAACAAACCACCTGTAGAAAACAAACAGTTTCAACTAGTACTTGCACCAAATTTGCACCAGACACTTTCTTACACTCGCTCTATATCTCTAAAAAATGCATATATGAAGTGTGTTTTACATAGATAAGTGGCCTTGACAAACCACCCGTAGAAACCCTCTTCTTTCTATAAAACAAAAACACTACCTTCTCCTCTAGCACTTAATTCTCTAAGCAGTAACAGTTCCTTTATATAATTGGAACCTCTTGTGTGTATTGCCTCTTGTTGTTGAAAAGGAGTGCCTCTTCAATTGTAGTTCGACAAAAGCTTCTGCTAAATGGACTCAATGAAAATGAACTTTTTTTTTTTTTTGCTGCTTGTTCAAACTATTTAAAATGTTCTGAAACAACAAAATTCTTGAGATTTTTGTGAGACTTATTTGTTTTATGTCCAATCCATTTAAATTTAAATTAATTGATTTGTGTTGCGACAGCATCATATCATCTTTTTGGGTAAAATATCCTTTCAGTATTCTTGTTAAAATATATTGAAAATACATTGATTTCATTATGCATTTACTTTTTATAATAACTAAAATATGCTGTATGTTTCATGTCAAAATGTTCTGTCCAATATTGCTGTATATTGTATAAAGTATAATAATGTAAATGAAGGAAAATGTTTCCTCAAGGAAGAGTTAGCGTCCTGAGATGTGAAACTATTATTACCACAATCCTTTATCACAGTTGCAGTCTTGGATGCAGCAGTTGTTATCACACGTTATAGAAAGCAGGATCACCTCCACAGAAGAAAATAGGTGGAAGATCATGCATGTTTTATAACCTTCCTCGTCTGTCTGCCAGTCAGAGTTTCCAAGCAACAGAGGTCAGAAAAGAACAGCATCAGGTGCAGTTACCAAAACACAAGAAAAAAACTACTCCACAGCTTGTTCTGAGTACTTCTGAGTTGGAATGTTGACTGAATGTAGATCTTGACTGAACTCTGTTGTGCTTTTGTTAACAGGGTCCTGCATTTCGCTTTGTTTTGGGTGATTTGGGCATAACCGTTGGCTTTAGAAAAGCTATGGAGCACAGACAGCATTTCGGAAGTTTTTCACTATCTGCCTTCAATGGAAAATCATGATAAGTATGTGATTATTGTGTTTCAGAGCTGATTATTACTGATATGAGATCTCGGATTTCAGTGTTTTTGTCTTTGCATTCAATTGTAAACGTATGAATTGGAACGGGAAAGCTATGCTCACTTGACACTTAGATATTGATCTTTAACACAAATGACTGATGAGAAGACAAAGTACTTGAGTAATTCTACTTTATTACTTTGCTAAAAGTAGTTCACTCAAAAATGAAAATATACTCCCTCCATCCATAGTAGAGAAAATAAATACTATGGAAGTCTATGGTTGCAAGCAGTGGTGGAAAGAGTACTGAAGTACTTATGCAATACTACTCAAGTAAAAGTACCATTACTTGCCTAAAAATGTAGTGCGAGTAAAAGTATCTGTTTTAAATATAACTCAAGTATGAGTAAAAAGTAGCCATTTTAAAAGTACTCAAGAGTAGTGAGTATTGAGTATTATGCTGTGAAAGGTTTGGGGGGGGGGTACACAATTTTAAAACTACTTAGTAAATGACAATTTCTGAGATCTCTGAGTCTACTCAATTACAGTCATTTAAGTATTTGGAATTTGTTACTTTACACCACTGGTTACAGGTTTCTTCAAAATATCTTCCTTTGTGGTCAACAAAAGAGTTTGGGTTTGGAACAAGTGACGGAAGCCTAAATTAATGTGATTTTGGTGAATCATTTTGGGGGATTTGTAATGTACTTTAAACAATACAATTAAAATATATATTTTTTACTAATTACATTTTTAAGGTAAATGAAGGTTTCTTTTCATTTCTTGCAGTTTTATTTACAGTGAAAATTACTCATTTTTGAAGATCACTTTATTCTATTTTTCCTTTCAAGCTAAGTCATTTGCACTAATTTAATTTTATTTTATTTAAGTTTAATTTAAATGTTATTTATTCTGCCAATGAGATTCATTGAGATTCAATGAAATTGTTCAAACGTGTTCATTGGTTCTTTAGAAACAATGTTATGTTGCATCAATTACCACAATGCATAACATGTTGACCTGGTCCTCAGAGAAATGCTTCCTTTGAAAGCAGCAATCCAAGACGGAAAGGCATCAAGATACAAAATTTTGACTTTATGTCTCGGTTCAGAAGGCACCTTCTGATTGAATTACAAAGGCAGCATTTCCTTCAATGCCTCGGCTATCCTACAATCCTGTGCATTTCATTCCTGACAGTTGAGTTAAAAAATAAGTATGGCAAATTATAAACACCACTTGGGTGTCAATTTGTGTTTACATGTGTGTTTTTTACTTTTACTTTTTATGTTTTTGTGCTTTTTTCTAGTGAGAATTCAGTATTGTAGTAAGAAAATATTCACTTCGTGCACAAAAGCCCAAACTCCAAAGTCACTGCCTGCCTTTCTTTTAGTGGTATTAGTATGAATTCATACATTATTAAAGGGCCATGACACCCCCCTCTTTCGGTTAAAGTCTACTTCAGAATTTTTTCAAAAGATGCATGATTAATGGGCGTGGAGCTCCGCGAGCATCGGGCAGGAGTGGGCGTGGCCAGCAGGGGAGAAGGGGAGCGAATAACTGCTGTTGTCAGTTAGCTCACAAAATGAGACACAAAGAGGAGACGCATGAGTTTATAGTTTACAAAGTTAAAATGCAAAGAAATGAACAGTGATTTAATGCCCTGCTACATTTGTTATTCGTAATTTCATATACAGACAACCACAATTTATATCATTATAAAGATGTGTGTTCATGTAAACACTATAAATGAGGACTTCTCCCTCAATCCCCGTATCCAGCAGACTCAGTGCAGCAGGTCTCCTGAACCGTCTATTTTAACCATTAGCCCTGCTGGTAATCTGGAGGATTTAGGCAAACACAGCAGCACGGCGATGTGCCTGAATGTAACGAACTCCTGATAAAAGACAGCGTCCGCGGCCGCCATTCTCTAATTCTCGTGCTGCTCTCCCGACAAAAATGCTAGCAGCACGCACACAGCTTTGCTGTATGACCGGCCCTGACTAGATCGCGGGGGAAAACATGCAACAAACCACGTGGAAACAAATGCATATGAGCCTTCAAGAATGGCTAAATACTGTGCCGGGGTTTCTGTGTCTCTCAGCTCGGGCTTGACACTGGCAGGTCTCATGAATAATTAAGCAACCGGCTCTTCTCATAAGAAAACTCCGCTATGAATAATAATGAGAAACCGACGCGTCATCATTGCACTTGCAGTTCTGCGCTATGTCGCCGATTTTGATCCCGCCCCAAAAATCATTTTAAACCCGGAAGCTGAAATTAGCTGATAAAAGCTCAAAATTTTCCAGTTTTCCCCACAATTAAAGCTGACAGGTGCTAACATTGTCTTAACTGATGCTCAACACGCACACATCTGTTAATATATAAAAAAAAGTTCTCCGGGGTGTCCTGAACCTTTAAATTTAAACTTTGTCTCCTATAAGAAAAAAAATAGCTTTTTTTTTTTGCTTTGTAACCCCAAAAGAGCTAAGCTAGTCTTTCACAATTTTGAAATTTAACTTCTGCTTAAATAAAATCAGAGGTTTTAAATCTTTGAGTAGCATGTTTGTATATCAGTATTAGGCATTACTTTTTGAATACTAAAGTACAATTATAATGTGATGCTTTTTACTTTTAATCGAGTTCTGTATGTTCCTGACCAGATACTTGTACTTTTAAGTGAGTAAACTTTTCATTCAGTATTTAAACTTTTGCTTGAGTCACAATTTTGAGTGATTTTGGCAGATTAGCCAATCGCATGGCATGACAATTGAATGCATTTAGCAATGCAGTCTTCGAGATAAGTTTAGTCTGAGCATCATAAAGAGGAAGAATGTGATTTAAGTTCTTTTAAATGCAGTGTGTTTGTCAGTGCCAGACAGGCTGGTCCCAGGTTTTTAGAAACTGCAGATTTACTGGGATTTTCATGCACAACCCTCACTTGGGTTTACAGAGAATGCTCAGGAAAAGACTAAATATCCTGTGGGTGTCAGCTGAAAACAGAAAAACTGGGGCTACTGTTTATATGGGCTCACCTGTACAACAAAGGACTGAAAAAGGGTCCAGTAAATCTTGATTGACATTCAGATGGATGAAAATTTAGCCTGTACAGCATAAGCGCTAGAATCCATACTTTTCTGTGTCAATGGTTTTGACTGATGGTGTAATGTTGTGGGGATTTTCATACTCTTTTCACTCTTCTTTAGTACCATCTGAACATCATTTAAACACTACAGCCTACCTAAGTAGAGTTGCTTACCATGTCCATCCCTTCATGAGTAGAATGCATGTTGTGGTGGATAATGTACCATTTTACAAATAACAAATCATTTCCAACTGGTTAGGACCAGATCTGAGTTCATTATCATCTGATGTGCTGGCATGAGAGATGTACATCCCCCAAATCTGCAGCAACTCGTCACCTTAGAGTTATAAGGTTCTATCTGACATTATTGTCAAAATTGAGTTATTGATATGTTCTTATTAAATGACAACTTATTTACATTATGGGATGTTTTTTTATAAGTTGTTTACATTTTAAGACTTTTTATTTAAAAAAAACAAATGTTACATATTGTTTGCTATGGAATGCAAAAACTTTAAAGCTCAATATCTCAAAATCATTCAGAACGCAGATAGATCCTTATAATTCCAAGGTGACTAACTGTGTGATGTTCTCATGCCAATATGGAGAGGAAATCTCTGGGAATGTTACTCGGGAAATATTAAAGGATTAGTTGACCCCAAACATTGTTTTGGTTAATTCATTCAAAGTCCAAATGAACCAAAAATATTGTCAACATATTTCATGTGACTTCACTCATTCAACTAATCACACAAAGCTCCAAAAACACTTTTATGTGGCAAAAAAGTACACAAAAGTATGCTTGGAACTTCAAATGTGTCATGATCACCAGCGATTTAACCACTAGAGTTTGCTGGTATACATTCACTTTCACACAAAATACAACCCGCCATGTTGTGGCCTACAGATCCCAGTCATGCAATACACGCACAATCATTTCCTGATCCTGACTAATTGCAAACACAGCTGATGCAGCTCAAGTACTGATTAAACACACATATATATGGCTCACTTTGAGACACTCATTGCTGAGTCTTGTCTGCTGTTTTAGTGACACTACAATGCATTTTCCTTTTTTTTGTCTTGTTTTGCCATGTTTTTGATCCTCACCTCATTTATTTGCTTAATCCTGTTTGCTGCCTGCCTTGTGACCATCTGCCTGTTATTTTTACTACGACTCTGGATTGCCCTTATACATCTGTTTGCCCCTGTATTGACCACTGCTTACCTGACCTCGCCATTAAACCTGCATTTGGATCCACACCCTGTTGTCAGTGTCACTTTCCCCGTTACAATATGATTACAGTGGAACCACTGAAGTCACCTGGAATATTTTAACAATATCCTTGGTTTCTTTTCTGGAGAAAGCTGAGAAAGATCTCAGATCTAAAATATCTTAGTTTTGTTCCAATGATGAACAAAGGTCTCAGGTGATTAAAACAACATGAAGGTGAGTAATTAATAATATTTTCTTTGAACTAAACCTTCAAGGCAGAACCCAGTAAAAATAAAAATTAAAAATAAAACCTAAAAAAAAAGTGGCCAGTCTAATTCCCAGTATAACAGTATTAGATTGGAAAAAAAAACTATGCAAACAAGTAGCTCTGAAATCCAGCTCACATTGCTTTTTAATTACATTGACCCCTTAGGTTCTCTGTATCTTATTTTAAATATTCTCAATTCAAATAAGATCAGGGTAATATGCCCAATTGACACATAACATGAATGTTTCCTGTCAGGTGTCTGCTTTCTGCTGATGGTGACAATCAGTCAAGTTGACCTGGCTTTACTCTGTCCCTCTTCATGTTTGGTGTGCTCTGAGGATGTCACCATCTGTCAGAAACTTAGGAGCATCATTGGTAAGTAAAATATTATCCAATAGATTTAACATTTAGATCATTTACAAAGCTTCCTCATAGGTCACTCATCCTTGAGTTATTTAAAACCTGACCTCATTTCCTTTGTGGAATATAAAAGAAGATTGAAGACAAAAAAAAAGAGTCATACAATTTGATACTTTTACTTATTTAATTGGAATATCTTTAGCTTTAATTATGGCATGCATTAACCTCATTGCTTCTGTAATTTCACAACATTTATTCCAGTCCAGAGTTGCATTATTTTTTTGACATGATCAGACTGCTGTGCAAAATTTTCTCTAGCACATTCTAATGACTCTCAATAGGGTTAAGGTCTGGACTCTCTGGTGGCCAATCCATGTGTAAAAAATGTCTCATGTTAACTGAACCCCTCTGAGAAGCTACTCTTTGCATTATCTTTAAATAATGTGTTACTCGCTGAAACACAATAATCATCCATGCAGTAAATATTACCTATTTGCTTAGTAAGTCCATGTGGGTATTTGTTTTGTATTTTTTGGGATGGACAGTGTATTTTGAATATTCTGCTGTATGTTTGTTCATTTAGAGAAGGTCAAATTAGTGCAATGCTATTTTAGAGCCTGTTGTGTGAGCAAAAAACCATTAATAATAATTTGAGTGACAGAGTCAATAGATTAATCAGTATTTGTCATAATTCTCTTGAATGAACAATACATTGACTGTTGCCATCACATTCTGCAAGGGGGAGGATATATGTAACAATACATTAAGAGTTTAGATGCAAAAGCTCTAAATATTAGCATCATTTCTCATGCTCCTGTGTATAGGTTTCACTGCAGTCATTTCACTTTTATGGCAAAGAACAGGTTGTTTTCATTTGCTTTAATGTGAAATAACTGAACATAAACATGCGAGACTGAGAAAAATGCACATTTTTGACTTTTTTAGATGGCAATTTTTGATGGTTATTGCATCTAATCTCGTCACATACAGTTAAAGTGCCAAGATACTTTCAAACTATAACTTTTATACACAAAGCTCTCTTAGTAGTACTAGTTCCCTTATTTAAAGTGCCCCTATTATACATTTAAAAAGGTCATATTTCGGTTATATGGGTCTTAAACAACATACTGATATGCATGCAATATCAAAAAACACTTTCATGGTCTTATAATAAAAATTTATTTTAAATAATTATCCCAGCGACTCCCATATGAATTGTTTAGCGATTCATTTGTTCCCAAACCCCTCCTTAGCGCGAAGCTAATCTGCGCTGTTTGGACCGAGGATAGCCTGTTGCGATTGGTCTGCAGCGTTCACCGCGGTTTGTCAAGCTCCCGGGTTGCCAACATTGGTATAGGATCCGATCGCAGCGGACGCTCAAAACACGCTTTATAGTAAACTTACTCGACGGTGTTATTCAGACACCTTACCACCGAAAGCAGTGGAGTTAAACACCAGCATATTGCTCTATTCTTAACTACATTCACACACATTCAGTATTAATCCACACAGCAGCAAAAGTTGAACTATTCTACCGCTGCACGTGTGTAGGATCAGCTGACGGTGGCCAAAGCAACGACAAACGGCAGTGAAATGCGAGCTCTGAAACGCATTTAAATCCGTAAACAAAGCAAGCGTCGTGTTTTTAATGTGGCATTAGACGCGCTTTGGGGCGAAGCAGTGGCGCAGTACGTAGTGCTGTCGCCTCACAGCAAGAGGGTCGCTGCGTTTCTGTGTGGAGTTTGCATGTTCTCCCTGCCTTCGCATGGGTTTCCTCCGGGTGCTCCAGTTTCTCCCACAGTACAAAGACATGCGGTACAGGTGAATTGGGTAGGCTAAATTGTCCGTAGTGTATGAGTGTGTGTTTGTGAATGTGTGTGTGGATGATTCCCAGAGATGAGTTGCGGCTGGAAGGGCATCCGCTGCGTAAAAACTTGTTGGATAAGTTGACGGTTCATTCCGCTGTGGATACCCCGCATTAATAAAGGGACTAAGCCGACAAGAAAATGAATGAATGAATAGACGCGATTTAAGAATATAAAGAGTTAATCTGATACTTTTATACGCGGTTACAAGTAACAAAACACAATTTAATACATTTTTTTATTATATTTTTTTAACAATGAGACAAGCCATTTACTTACAATTATGAAATGTGTCATGGGCCGGGTCTGATTTCATTAATTATCTTTCATTTTGGAGCTTTTCTCCATTCTCAGCTGTAGATTATTTCTATTTGCGATCATTGCTGTAGCACCTCTTACGTGAAGTGTTATATGTTCTCAATGCTTACCTGTACTCTGCCTAATGATCACATCCCCAGCCAGGGGGTTTTAGCACTCACCAGAGGTCATCCTCAGCATGCAGCAGCCTGCCTTTGTTTGACTTTGTGCCTAATAAACTGGCCCTATTTTGAACACACCCCTGGTGTATTGTCTGTCCATTACAAAATGGAGGAAGAAACTAATCCATGAGCTGTGTACTAAAGTCCCTGCCGAGCTCTGTCAAAGTCTCATACATCAGTAGTCTTTCTGATCCTTTCTTCCCAAACGAATAAATCGCCCATTGTTAGCGTGTAGATTGCTGAAGCACTCCTTTCCCTCACACTTCCAATAAAATCTAGGTAGGATCTGTTTATATTTGCTGCTGTGTTAGTGGGCGGGGCTGCAGGTAAAAATTTTCTCGGGTTTGCGCATGCAACAATTGGCGTAGCCTATGTTTTGTAACACCGAAACAGCTAGAGACTCGTTATCAAGACTGTTCATTCGAATCACTATGAATTGGCTCTTTAAATACCCACAACACAGAATTGATGATAACATGTGGTTGAAGAGATTGCATGCTATGATTGGGATTTAAATTCATATTTATATGTTACATTAAAAATGGTCAGACACATTTTGTCAGCAGGAGTCACTTAAAACCTACATATTTTTTAGTTTTTAAATAATCATGTTTCTATTGATATGGACCTTTTTCTGTTCATCACATTCAGATGCACCAGGCTCCACTAAAGCTTTGATGCTGACTGATGGACTCATTGATTCTGTGGGCAGTATGGTCTTCTCTGATTTATCCAATATGAGTGTTCTGGCGCTCAGTAACAATGCCATTTCCAGCATCACGGAGAACGCTTTTCAGAACCTCACTTTTCTCACAACACTATCCCTGGACCACAACCACATCTCCAACCAGGCCTTAAACAGCTCCACGTTCTCTTGGCTCCACAGACTGGAGACTCTTCAGCTCAGTAACAACCACCTGAAAGACATTGATGGCTCCTGGTTCCAGAGCTCCATAGCTTTAAAAACACTTCAGCTGGATGGAAACCTTCTCACAAGCTTGAACTCCACCACCTTCGCTCACGCAGACCTGAGGAACTTGGAAATCTTGGATTTGTCAGACAACCTCATCGTGACTTTGGGACGTGAAAGCTTCCGTAGGCTTCCTAGTCTCCGCAGGCTTGATCTATCTCGGAATAATCTCAGCAGTGCTCCGGATGCCTTCTCGTACCTGTCATGGCTCTCGACACTGAACTTGGATCTGAACCGCTGGAGCTGCTCGTGTGAGCTGAGAGAACTGGCCTCGTTCCTCAATAGTTTCATTCAGGCTCCTGAGAATGTGTTGTACAATGGGCAGAAGATGGCATGTGTGAATGCTGATAATCCATCTGTGCAGACTGTGCTGCAGCTGACCGATGCTAACTGTGTCCCGCCAAACAGCAACATCACAGTGGAGGTCGTGGCCAAAAGAAGTAACACTTCTCAGCAATACATCAGAAATGTTGCGATTGCCGTTGTGTTTTCATTTTTGGGTGAGTATCTAATCAAAAGAATGATAATAAAATATTCTGCACTATTTACTAAAATAAAAAGACTTGATAGTAAACAATAATAATAATTCATTAATAATAATAATTCAAGAGAATTGGTTAAAAACAAAATCGTGTAGTAGCAATACCAAAATGTACTGTTTCTGTTTATAACTTTGAAAAAGTTTTTAAAGAGCCCATATTGTACATGAAATAGGGTCATATCTTGGTTGTAAGGGTCTCCAACAACAGTTTAATATGCATGCAAGGTCAAAAAACACTTTCATGGTCTAGTAATCTGCATTTATTTTTACCTAATTATCCCAGCGACTCCTGTATGAATCGTCCAGTGATTCATTTGTTCCCAAACCCCTCCTTAGCGCGAAGCTAATCTGAGCTGATTGGACCGATGACAGTCTGTCGCGATTGGTCGACTGCCTTCAGTCAGAGTGAAATGCCAAACAGCTAATCAGCAATATAAAAGTAATCACAGTTCATACACGCTCGATGGTGTAGGCGTGGAGTTTAGCTGCCAGTGGGTCAATGTAAATACAGACTATGGACTTGAAAATACAGACGACTAACTATTTTATTGAGCAAAAACTCCAAAAGCAGTTGAGGAGATATCCTAGCTTCTCACTCTGCTCTTTTCACAGACACACACACATATTGCACAAACACACACACACTTAACCCTGCTCCGGACGACAACGCACACTACTCCTCGTCCACGGAGCTCCGTTAACGCAGCACGCGTCGCGTTTTTAACGTGACTTTGCACGCGATAAGAGAATAAAGCCAGTTAACCTGATACAGTACACGCGGTTACAAGTAACAAATCACAACTAAATACATTTGCAAGCTAGAATCAACGAGGCAACTTTAATCGCACGTACTTACACTTGAGAAATTTAGGAAGAAAAATCCTGACGTCCATCAATAAGTTACTCTTTACTGATCCTTCCTTTAACAAACGCTGATGAAGTATTCTTTGTAGCATGTAGCTTCCAGAAGTTTCCAGTAGTTTCCAACTGCTTGGCTATAATGCTGAGGTTTCATGTTTGGGTAGAGACTCAATATATCCATCTGCAGTGTGACTTCAATCGACCGGCATGTTTGTGTGTGTGTGTGTTTGTGGGTGTGTGTTTGTGTGTGTGTCTGGGTTTCTGCGTCAGAGGGCGGGGCCTCAGGTTTGAAATCTCCCGGGTTTGCGCGTGCACGTGAATAACTTGGTTTCGTTCGTACGTCATGGCGAAACACCTAATGAATCGGTATCAAGGCGACTCGTTTGAAGCACTATGAGTCGACTCTTTTATAAATGAATCAACCGTTTTAAACACTGTACACTAACAGATTTAAGCCTTAGCTGGATACTTCACTTCACTTAGAGCTGTGTTACACACTACATGGAGGGGAATTTTCAAAAACCCATAATATGGGCTCTTTAAAAAATGAGTTGTGGTAAAATCATATTAACAATTAATAAAGTTAAAAGCACTGCCTAAAGATTTAAATATTTAAACATGAGTAATCACAACAATTGTGCAGTCTATAACAATTAATCACAGACTTAAACGGCACCTAGACCTGTTAACATTGGGATGTGAAAATAAAGGATATGCCCACCATAATAAGGGATTCACCCCCCTTTAAAAAAATCCCCAAATATGTTCATTTGGAGCTGTTTCATTGTAAACAAACAGTTTAATGGTCAGTAATATGTTTTAAAGTTATTATTAACAAAAGAAAAATTAAATATATGCATTAGCAGCAAATAAATTAGCGAACAGTTAAGCTTATTAAAATTAATAGCTATTATAATGAAATAGAATCAAGCTATCAAATCTCATTAGCCGTTTTGTATAACTTACACATTCTGATTAAAGAGCAGCGAGTGAATCTCTTATTTATTTAGATTTTTTTTTTACATCAAATAACAGGTGTCACTTTAAAAATGCACACATCTAACATAATGAAAGCATTCGACTGCTTTCCTAACTTTTTATGCTCATTTAAGACGAAATTAGTTGTGTTTGAAAAAAAAAAAACACCAAGATCGATATATTTATATGTTATTATTATTAATTATGTGTGTATGTCTGTTCAAACACACACCCAAAACCCAGACTTTCACTCCGCTTCAAATAGCATGTACAGAATCCATTTGGGAAACAGCGTCTATTTATCAGTATGGAGCGCATCAGCTGACAGTCATGCACCATTATATGACTGTTTAGAGGATTGTATAAGAGGGGCGACGGCACCTGTAATGAAAAGGAAAGGGAATCGCACCATTTTCTATATTTATTTATAAGTGTTTTCATGTTTTCATTTCAAAGCAAAGTGAAAGCACACAACAGACTCCCATTTAAGAGCAAGGGGCGGCCCCTGGTGGTTCGGCGGTATGGGTTGCGTATAGGGAGGCTAGGCTCTTCAGAGAAAGACTGAAAATATGGGAGAAAAACGGGAAAATACCTTTACGGGATGATAGCGGGATAGAACTGTAAAATACAAGAGAATCCTCAGGAAAAACGGGAGGGTTGACAGGTATGACCTATGTTGCAAAAGCAACTTTTGGAAGCTCTTTGGACAGAGCTGTGTGTTGATATAGTGCGTCTACGCTCATGTTGGAGTGACATAAACACTACACAGTCTTTTTTTTGTCTAATTTCCTAACATTAAAATAGGATCCAAATCCCAGTGATTTTGAGGCCCACTGCAAAGTGACGTAGTAGTGTGGCATATTTACATGTCTCCAATGCTCATAAACATACCCACACAACAGGATTTTCAAAGAAACTGGGATTAAAAAATCTGTTCCAACTCTCTGTGGTCAGCTGCACATCAAGAATAGGTTTTACAAATTTTAAAGTTGCTGTATGTAAGTTTTCGACTCTTCTAAAGCAGTGATCCCCAACCCCCAGGATCAATCAGTCAATCCCCAACCCCCAACCCCAATCCCCAACCCCCATCAATCAGTACCGGGCCTCACAAGAATTGATTCCAAACTGAGGCATATTGGACATGTTTCAAACATTAGCGGGGATTTTTGAGTCTGAGCCTGCGCCCTCACTCACCAAGCTGGTGCACGATCATCATTGGGTCCTTCCCAACCTCAAAGGACCCACAAACGGCTAGGGAATGAATACGTGACCCATTTGTCAACCAACCAGCTAAATCCGGCATGTCCGTGCAAGAAGAAGACCAACTGCTGGAGATCGTAAATGACGGTGGCCTTAAACAGTGTTCGAGACAACAACTCTGCCGGTGTTCTGGATTAAAGTAATGGCAGAATACCCAGAGATCGCTAACACAGCGTTGAAAACCCTGTTGCCATGTCGAGATGTACATGATATGTGTGTTTTGGCGCTCACGGGCTGTTTCACGGGAACACGCAAAGCTTGAAGGTAAACAAACAACGGCTTATCATAAGCATCTTATTAATTATTTACACAGTTGGCATTAAGATGAACATATAAACATTATCTGCCTAATTTCTATCAGCTAAATGTGTCTGGGAAAATATTCAAAGGCTTTTATTCTATTAAACCGCGCGGACGTGAACGCGTCTGACTGTTCTCTATAAAAGCAGACGTCTCACGTTAGCACGTTCTAGACATTCAATTAAGTGTTTCCTCAAAAAAAAATTCCAGCTGTGGCGTCAGGCCTTTTTTACACAGATCTACCAACTACCTGTGACGTTATTTCAATGACAAATGTTGTGAGCGCAGTATTACAAGTCGAGATCAGATTCATGTAATAGCCTACAAGCAAGCGAATCTCTTTGCTTGCGCGCCAATTTCCTCTGCTCGTGCACAAAACTTCTTGCACACCCTCTAAAACATATGCTGCTCAAGCGCAGATCTTCTTGTGCGCTCTCAAATAAACGCTGCTGAAGTGAGATTTAGTGCGTTTATGTAACGAGTATGTCTCAATTATATTTTACTAGGAACATTTATAAATTTTGCTAGGAATATATATGAACATCTTCAATAGACCCACAGAGCGGTTTTAATGCGTCCTGAAGTAAAGTGAAACGGCTATACGTCGTGTTTGCTGGCCTTAAGCATCACGCATCTGTCAGTCAGCCAGCCAGTCAGTCAGTCAGCACGTAACTTTAAAGGGTTAAAAAAAATGACACACAGCACTACTACGGTCAGTTACAGAGAATTATTAAAAAAAATAATTAAAAATAAAATAAATAAAACATGACTGAATGATTTGAATGAGAAGTTGTAATGTAGCCATGGCGGGATGAATTTTTGCGTGGCGCCCCGCCATGGAAAAATAAATGTAGCAGAAACCATGTGTTTCTGAAATATAATTTTCAAACCTTGCGCGGAACAAATAATCAATATGGAAAATATTTCGTCTATCGCGTGCTGTTGCTTTTAGTTAGATTACGACTTAAAATCAACCTTTAAGCATGATAGTTAGGCAGGCTCCTGTTGGTGTTATCAATCTAGCAAACCTGCTCTTCCTTGGAGTCGCCAGAGGAGGGACGGAGTGAAAATGTATTTAGAACCAGGCGTGCAATACCGAGTTCAACCACTGGGTGTCAAAACTTCCACAATGCACCTTTAAAATGATTTTAAAATAGAACTTGTTCGCAATAACACAAAGACAGTTGCTGGGGTATCGAAAGTTTTAACCCAAAAATGACCGGTGTGTCAGATAAAGAAGACCCGAAGTCAAAGATTCAGTCAAAGGAAGTGCTTTTACAGTGACAAAGCAGTAAAATTATTAACCAGCACCCGGTTTATGGACTCCAGCTGATCAGAATCATTTCAATGAGAGAGTGTGAAATGAATTGCTTTTCTGTAGTAATGTATATTGGTAATGCACTTCTAATCTCTCACTGATTTTTTGAGTTTCTTAGAAGAAGATATTTCCAGGGTCAAAATTAAGTTAAGATTTTTGACATATTTTTGACATGTTTTTCATTAAACAAATAAATGTTGCAATTATGTTTTATTGTAGGTGGTGTTGGGATCACTCTGGGAATAATCGCCATTGCATATCACAAACTTAGTAAGAAATTCAAACTGATGCAGGAGGAACACGGAGCTTCAGAAAGGATCACATCCAGCCCAGAAATGGCCCAGTGGAATTTCTGTGAGGGCAAAGATACTTTATCCATGAGCCATGCTCTGTACAACAGTAACTACAAATCCCATCAGCCCTGGGACAGAGAAGACTCACCATATGGGTCAGATGAGCTGGAGAATCACTTCACCTGCCACAAGTGCAGCTCTACAGCTCTTACAGGGGGAAAACCCAAAAGAGAGACTGTCCTGCAGAAAACCACAGAAAACCTGCAGAAAAATCACATGAGTGAGCATCTGGCTCATCGCCAACATAACGGCAATCAGCAACATTCAGTGTTGCAACAAAGGATCAAAGGTAAACTGGAGACCAAAACATTCTTTATGAAATGTTTTAACAGGTGCTTAATCATTCACAAATAGTATGGCCTCCTTATATTTGTTAAAATATAATTGATGTTAAATATATTTCAGGTTTAATAACCACAATAAAAAAATGAACATATTCAAACGCATTACATCATTCTTTTTTTAAAAAGAAAAAGTTGTCACTTTATTTTGATGGTCTGTTGAATTTACGTTACATTGCATCTACATGCGAACTACTTCTAAGTAGACTGTTAGGTTGGGGTTGAGGCTTAGAGTGTGTAAGTTGACATGTACTTGCAAAGTTTTTCTAGTCAGTTTAATGGCTATTGAAAGAGCATATCAACAGATACTGTATTAAGCAGACAGTCTATAAATACATAAATAGACCATCAAAATAAAGTGTTTCCGAAAAAATGGAAAAGGATAGTTCACCCAAAAAAAAAAATTCTGTCTTCGTTTACTGCCTTCACTTGTCATAAATCTGTTTGAGTTTCTTTCTTCTGTTAAACACAAAAGAAGATATTTGGGAAAATTTTAGAAACCTGTAACCATTCACTTTCACAGTGTTTGTGTTTCCTATTTTAAAAGTCAGTGGGTACCAGTTTCTAACATTCTTCAAAGTATCTTCTTTTGTGATCAACAGAATAAAGAAGTTATCAAAAAAGAGAGATTAAAGGTTTGGAAGCACTTGAGGTTGAGTAAATAGAAGAATTTTATTTTGGGGTGAACTATATCTTAATGCAATAATATTAATATCTTTACATTTTATTAAAACAAAACAAAAATGTATTTTATTTTTCAAACTTTGAAGCAAAAGGTAGCATACATTGATGATGGTCAGTATAAAATTAAAAAACATAAATTAAATAAACATGTTTTTGTTTATATATTTTAGTATTTTTCATACATTTTTACTGAAAGAGTGTCTTTTTATTTTTTATTTTTCTCTTCAAAATGTTTGTTTTAGGTTTTAATAATTCTTCAAATCTTCAAATCATTTAATTTGTTTAGCTACGAAGACTGTGTCATTTTAATTTACATTTTTATCCTCTGCCACTATTCTTAAAACTAGTTTTTATAATTTTGTCCCCAGTAAGTTGCATTTAAATGTAAGTAATTAAATAAGTTTAAATTTAACTTTTTTAAAATGTTATTTAAATATAAAAAAACTGTCAAATTTAGCATTATCATCTATTCTTTTATAGTATTGTATGTATGTATGTTCTATAACATTTATTGTTTACACATTGTTTTACATTCACACACACACACATACATATATATATATATATATATATATATATATATATTTATATATATATATATATATATATATAATTTTATAGAATTTTATTTAATTTTTTTGGCTAGAATAAAAGCAGTATTAATTTTTTTTTTTTTATTTAAGGTCAAAATTATTAGCACCTTTATGCTATATATTTTTTTGTCTACAGAACAAACCACTGCTATACAATAGCTTACATAATTACCCTAACCTGCCTAGTAAACGAAATTAACCTCGTTAAGCCTTTAAATGTCACTTTAAGCTGTATAGAAGTGTCTTGAAAAATAAATAGTCAAATATTATTTGCTGTCATCATGGCAAAGATAAAATAAATCAGTTATTACAAATGAGTTGTTCAAACTATTATGATTAAAAATGTTGAAAAATCTTTTCTCCGTTAAACAGGAATTGGGTAAAAAAATAAACACACTGCCTGACAAAAGTCTTGTCATCAATCCCCATTGTTAGAGCAACAAATAATAACTTGACTTCTAGTTGATCATAGAAAAGTGTCAGAATGCCAGATATTTCCAATCTGTTGAACTGCTTCCCAATCATCACAAATAATGCAGAAGACCTATTGGAACCCACATGGACCCAAGATTCTTACAGAAACAGTCGAGTTTGGTGAAGAAAAAATCATGGTTTGGGGTTACATTCAGTATGGGGGTGTGTGAGAGCTCGGCAGAGTGGATGGCAACATCAAGGTGTCAGATTTGTGCCGCCCATTACGTTAAAAACCACAGGAGAGGGCAAATTCTTCTGCAGGATTGCGCTCCTGCTCATACTTCAGCCTCCACATTAAAGTTCCTGAAAAAAGGTTCAGTCCAGCCCAGTCACCAGACATGAACACCATTGAGCATGTCTGGTGTAAGATGGAGGCATTGAAGATGAATCCAAAGGTGAACTCTGGGAGTCTTGCAAGAGTGCTTTCTTTGCCATTCCATTTTGCCTTTATATTTTATCCTGTACATTATCTCTGTTAAGTGACAAGACTTTTATCTAAGCAAAGTCAGACCTTAAATGATGAAAAATGGAGGCATAATCATATTTTATTTTGGTAAAATATGTGTAATCTAGAGGACTTTGCCCTTTATATAAGCCACTTCTGATACCAAATGATCAACTAGAAGTCAAGTTATTATTTGTTGTTCCTAAAACTTGGATAGGCAACAAGACTTTGGTCAGGTAGTGTACTGTATATCCAAATGGTTGTTTTATTTTAAATAGTTAATTTATATAACTATGTATCGTCTCAGATGTCTATCTTAATTTTATTTAATTCTATCTTAATGTTTCACAGACATGCATCTAAAAAGACAAGCCGAGAGAGACTCAAAAAGTCATCTGGCCAGTCAGGACTTTACTTCCCAGCGTCGTGGGGGTCCAGACGACATCTCAGCTGTCAGAATACAGCAGCTGGCCCTCAGTAATCATTTCTCAGCCCTCCAGAGAGGCCCATTCAGACCCCCAAACCATATCTACAATGAAGAAACTCAAGCTAATCACTCACTGTTAAAGCACCAGGCCTCAGAAACCACTCCGCGACCGATTTACCAAACTATCAGCTGTCTGCATTGCCATCAGACCTATGAATACAGGCAAGCTCAGAGTAACAACCACGACTTCCCCTTTACAAACCACTCGCAGAACAGAGGACAAATGTACGACGCTATGCTCTACAGAGACATCTTGGGTTACGAGAAGAGAGACGCCGACGGATGTGATGAGAGTGAGCTGGGATTTAAGTTAGCTTCTCAAAGGAGCGTTACTTTTGATCTCACGATGCCTGAAGAACGAACAGCCGACAGACGCAACAACCAAACATCTTTGCAGAAAAGCCAGCGGAAGAGCAGCGCACAAAAACCCCACAAATCCAGAGGACAAACCAAGAAGACGCTGAGAGTGAAGTTAAATTTAGACCCTCTCAGGAAAAACAGAGTTCATCCCAAGTCCAAAAGCGAAGATTCCAAGGCGGATGACAAAAAGAGGAAGGAGAAACTACGAAGCAAAAAGAAAACGTGCAAAAAATCAAAAGAGGATTCTGTTGGAAATGAAGAAACCTTAAATAAGAGAGACGCTCAAATGAGAGTAAGCAAATCTGTGCCTGAAGAAACAGAACAGAACTCTACTCCTGCTGAAGGAGAAACTCAGACGTCAGATGCTGTCTTCAGCAGTATTTCAGAAGCTCAGACACCATCAGTTCTTACAATAAGTCCTCCAGATGATGCCTCTGACGCCCAGCCGATTTCAAATGCTGCACTTCCAGTGGTTGAATCTGCTTCAGGAGATATGCTGGATCAGTCCAGCAGTTCAGATCTCACCAGTTCTGCTGCGCCACTCATACAAGAATACGTTTCTTCAAGCGAAGGATCCTTCAAGATAAGACTCATCCTGCCTGAAAAAAGCTCCAACAGGCCACAGACGGCACTAGATAAGAAAATCAGATAGCGTTATTCTTTTTTTTTTTTTTTTTATAAAGAAAGCACATGCACTTTCATTACATAGCTGTCTGATAAATTACTGATAAGCATAAGCACAGGCTTTTATAATGTGTAGTCTTGTTTTATTATGTAGATTTTATTATATACTAAAAACACTGATTTACTTGGAAATCCTTTTTAATTTTGGGAATTTCTCAATCTGTAGAAATACTGAATTAAATGTGAGTTTTATTATTTATATTTATTTTATTTTATTTTGAAATAGATCCAAAGATTATCAACAACGACAGTATATACAGTAAAAAAAATCACATTTGCTGCTTGTTCAACTTATTTAAAATGAGTAGAAACAGCACAATTCTTAACTATTTATTTTATAATAAATAGTTAAGAATTATTTTTATATTTTATATTTATATTTTATATTCATTCCTCTTAAATTTGTAAAAACAATTATGTAAGCTTAAATGTTAAATTATTATATATACACCAAATATGTGTCACGGAAGTTAGTTCTGTTGTCTATAAGGCCCCAGATATGGAAAAATATGTTGCAACAAATAGGTGAGATGTTTGTGGTTTAATGTATGCATGGAGCTAATGATTGGTTAGTTCAGCCAATGCAGTAACCGGAGTCTATTTCTTCCAAACAAAATGTCAAGAATACAAAGTGCGGTCTGTCACTTTGTTTTATGGTCTGCAGATAAAGGGGAGGTTGGACCTCAGAAAACAAAACTCTGTCATTCTGTAGCTTATGCTTGTTGAGTGAACATTTAGTGTTTGCACAAATAATGGAAGTTAAAGAAGAAAAGAGCTGCAGCATTGGGGAGGGTGAAGAGGCAGAAGGAAAAGAAGCAAAGACTGTTCTGGGGATCTTTACGAGAGAGCAGTTCATCATGTTGTGTGTTGGACTCGGTCTGATTGCACTGCTTCTCATCATTACATTAACTTCAGTGTTTGTGATCGCAAAATCAGGTATGTAAACTCTGTCATGACATTGCATAGTTTGGCACTGAATATTGCTTGAAATGGAGTTCAGTTGCGTGTAATGTTGTAAGGGTGTTTTTTTTGGCAATAGCCAAAAATACATAAGTGATTGATTTTTATTAACATACTCAATAATGTCAGCTCACATATCATTAAAACACATTACAATAATTATGACATTATCGTAAACGATAAACATATTATTCATCTTGGGGTTGGTCTCAGACGCTTCAGTGGACGTGGACATGGAGCCGTTTCCATCTGACGGAGACATGCTCGACTTTCTTCTTCAGACTGGGGAGATTGAGGAGAAAGATGGCCTTTATGCGACATGGTATCACGCAGCCAACAGTAAATCTGAGATGAGCAAGGCCTTGAACAGTAAGCGTGATATCTGGTTTTATCTTAACACCTTTCTCTTGATCTCTTGTTTTATCTTAACACCCTTGTTCAAGGTTGCGCTTCGGTCACTTCCATTAGCCATGGGATAGTAAATAAAAAAACTCTACCAGTGAAATAAAGGTGATAGATATGAAATATGCACAGTTTATGAGTGCTGATAAAATAACCTACAGATGATATGGTGTTTATATAATATGTACACTGCAAAAACAAGTTTTCTCATGTTTCCCGGGGTGGGTTTAGTGAATTTGGGGATCCTAAGCAATTCCAGCCATGTGGCCAAACAGTCCCAATGTTCATCCTTTGTATTTTTTTTCATCATTCATTCATTCATTTTCTTGTCAGCTTAGTCCCTTTATTAATTTTGGGTCGCCACAGCGGAATGAACCGCCAACTTATCCAGCAAGTTTTTACGCAGTGGATGCCCTACCAGCCGCAACCCATCATTCACACACACACTTATACACTACGGACAATTTAGCCTACCCAATTCACTTGTACCGCTTGTCTTTGGACTGTGGGGGAAACCGGAGCACCCGGAGGAAACCCACGCGAATGCAGGGAGAACATGCAAACTCCACACAGAAACGCCAACTGAGCCGAGGCTCGACCCAACGACCCTCTTGCCGTGACGCGACAGCACTACCTACTGCGCCACTGCTTTGCCCCTGTATTTTTTTTATTCATTCATTTTCCTTTGGATTAGTCCCTTTATTCATCAGTGGTCACTACAGCGGAATGAACCGCCGACTTATTCAGCATATGTTTTACACAGCGAATGCCCTTCCATCTGCAACCCAGTACCGTAAAACATCCATACACTCTCATTCACACACATACACTGCAAAAAATGCTGTTCTTATATTTTTTGTCTTGTTTCTAGTCTTAATATCTAAATATTCTTAAATCCTTAAACACATTGTCTAGTTTTAAGAAATTATATCCAAAATAATCTGCCAATGGGGTAAGAAAAATAATCTTGTTTTTTCTTTTGACATAAGATTATTTTGCTTACCCCGTTGGCAGATTATTTTGCTTATTTTAAGGAAAAACTCAATACATTTTGGCATATTTTTTTCTTAAAACTTGACAATGTGTTTTGCTTGTCAAGAAAATGCTTCTTGATTTAAGAACTTTTAGATATTTGGACTAGAAATAAGACGTAAAATCTAAGTAATAAAAGCATTATTTGCAGAGTACACTACAGACAATTTAGTTTTTTCAATTCTCCTATAACGCAGGTCTGTAGTAAACCGGACCACTCGGAGGAAACTCATGTGAACATAGGGAAAAACATGCAAACTCCACACAAAAATGCCAACTGACCCAGATGGGACTTGAACCAGTGACCTTTTCGCTGTGAGGTGACAGTGTTAACCACTGAGCCGCTGTCGCTATTAAATTAAATTAAATATATATATATTTTTATATCACTATCAAACAATGCACTTGAAATAATTGGTCACCTCAAAATTTAATAATTAAATCATTTTTAAAACTAAATCTTCATCTGATTTGACTGCTGAGGGGTGGGGGACACATTTGCAAGGATGTAATATTTACATTAATATTAAATTTGTTAGACCCTCGCTATACAAAGTATGATAGAAAATTGTGCTACACAGTGGTGCAAATAAGTATTTAGTCAGCTACCAATTGTGCAAGTTCTCTGTGCAAGATGAGAGAGGCCTGTAATGTTCATTGATATACCTCAACTATGAGAGACAAAATGAGAAAGAAAATCCAGAAAATCACATTGTAGGATTTTTAAAGAATTAATTTGCAAATTACGATGGAAAATAAGTATTTGGTCAGTAACTACATTTCATTTTGATACTTTGTTATTTTATTTTAATCCATTGCTCACTGCAGATCTCCTCTAGTGATGTTTTGGGGCTGTCGCTGGGCAATACAGACATTCGACTCCCTCCAAAGATTTTCTATAGGCTAGAGATCTGGAGACTGGCTAGGCCACTCCCTGACCTTGAAATGCTTCTTACGAAGCCACCCTGTCAGTGCCTGGGTGGTGTGTTTGAGATCATTGTCATGCTGAAAGACCCAGCCATGTTTTATTATCAATGCCCTTGCTGATGGAAGGAGATTTTCAGACAAAATCTCACGATGCATGGCACCATTCATTCTTTCCTTTAGGAAAAACAGCCACAAAGTATGATGTTTCCACTCTTGTTCTTCACAGTAGGTATGGTGTTCTTTGGATGCAACTCGGCATTCTTTTCTCTCTAAACACAACAGTCAAAACAGTGTTTACCAAAATGTTCTATTTTGGTTTCATTTGACCATTTGACATTCCCCCAATCCTCTTCTGGATCATCCACATGCTCTCTAGCAAACTTCAGACGGGCCTTAACATGTACTTGTTTAAGCAGGGGGACACTGCAGAATTTGAGCCCCTGGCAGCACATTGTTATTGATGGTAGCCTTTGCTACTTTGATCCCAGCTCTCTGCAGGTCATTCACTAGGTCCCGGGGTAAGATCTTGCATGGAGCCCCACATCGAGGCAGATTATCAGTGGTCTTGTATGAGTTTGGAGTGTGACTGTTTGAGGTTGTGGACAGGTGTCTTTTACCTTTGATGAAAATTACATGCCTCTCTCAACTTTTTAAGTGGGAGAACTTGCACAATTGGTGACTAACTAAATACTTTTTTGCCCCACTGTATTTAATTTACAAAAACTTTTAGGTTTTTATTGTGGGCCCCCAGACTATCTAAAAAAATAATAAATCAAGAAGGATTTTGTAGACAAAGCAAAAATTCTTGTTTTTAGAAAAAAATTATGTGAGTTTCTCCTTAAAACAAGCAAAATAATGTGCCAGTTGGGTAAATAACAATAAACAATTTTATTTTGCTTCTCCCATTTGCACATTATTTTGCCTGTTATTTTTAAAACTTGCTTAAAAATAGCTTTTTTATGAAAAATAAATCTAGTCTAGAAAATGCTTCTTGATTTAAGAACTATTAGATATTTGGACTAGAAACAAGACAAAACCTCTTAGTAGAAAAATCATTTTGTGCTGTGTAACTGTTTACATTGCAGGTGATGTGATGATCCTAGAGGCTGATGTAAATGTACAAGGTCATAACACAGTCAATGAAACCAATATTCCCATCATGGCCCATCCGCCAGACATTTACAGTGACAACACTCTGGAGGAATGGCTGGATGCTGTGCTCAAGTCAAAGAAAGGTAAACAACATTGTCTGTTTTTCATACTCTGATGACATTGCGAACATTTGTTATGTGGCTGTCCTTCATTAGGGGTAAAGCTGGATTTTAAGAGTATCAGTGCTGTGGAGCCCTCATTGGATCTGCTGAGAGCGAAAAACCAAACGGGGATCAACAGGCCGGTGTGGATAAATGCAGATATTCTTCCTGGTCCTAATGTCCCTGAGTTCTGGCCAGTGGTCAATGCTTCAGAGTAAGAGTTTCATTTTATTGCTAACAATTAATTGCTTTTTAGGCTGCATTCACACTAGTGCATGTTTTGTTTTAAAACAGTGTTGCAGAATAATTATTCTCATACAGACATCCGTTTTTACTAAGTTTCAGAAAAACTATCTCTGTCAGTATTATACATGAAAACACAAGATACGTGACCAGTTACGCTTACTGGCATGTAAATATGTTGCAGGCATTCATAAAATACTTCCCGATTCCCGTCAGTGTAATGGTCATAAGGGGTTTGATGAATCAGGGAACAATATGCAATAGTCCAGAAGAGCAGTCAGAGAGTAATTGTGTATATCTGTGTTTATATTGTCTGCATTTCAGTTTACCTATAAACCTTTTTCTTAGAACGCAAAATTCCCCATTATGCTTTGCGTGTATGCTCAAGGAGAATGCTTAGGACTTCCGGTCGGCAGCTGATGCGTATGAACAGTCACATTTGGACAGCTTTGA